AGCAACTTGAAGACACACAGAGAGCAACTGTTTCCTAACATTTAGCACTGTGCTTTCTTCACTGCTTGCTTCCACTATAAGGTAAGATTTCTCTTTCTGCAAATAAGACAATAGACTTCCTTTTGACATATAAGGCATGATGATCCCTGGAGCTGATCCCAGGTCAGCACACACACCAATGAGAGACAGTACATTAGGATTATCAAAGTTTGACATCAGTAGGCACTCTTCAAGAAGACAATCGACATCACTCTTTGAAAATGGTCCTATAAATTTATCCAATTTTTTAAAATTAGTTATTATGTATCACTTGTATACCTTTGAGTGTTTTTAAAGCAATTTCTTGTTGACTTTCTTTCATAGTTGCTTTATAAACAATTCCAAACTCACCTAATGCATGCAAACAGTGTTAATGTCTATACTGACCACTATGTTAAACCTTGGCCAATGGTTTCTTGTATTTCAATCTGTGAAGACGGTATTAAATATTTGATCAACCTCTGCTTCATAACAGTGTCATCTGTAGATGTCTCTTCATTTTGATGATTTACTTCTTTAATTCAAAATAAATTTTTATCACAATACAAAATTTACTTTGATAAGCTGAATTCAAATCCAGAGAAATTCTGGAGTCGTCTAAAGGGGACAAATTATCTACATAAAGATATTATCAACTTCACTTACCAACACAATGCAAGTCCAAATTTACAAGTTTCTTCTTTCTGTTCCTCCTAACAATTATCACAATCACAAATACTATGATAATACAAACACAGAGTACTAGCACCAATACAACAGGAGCTACAATTGTTAGCATTGAAGATGATAACTGAGGAGTTTCAGTTGAGGGTAGATTTGTCACTGATGAATCAAGTGAAGAAGAAACAGGTCCAACTGATGAAGGATAAGTAAAGAGGCATGTTTATACCCAAAAACAAATGATTTACACTTACCTGCTGCCTCACATTCACAGCCATTAATTTCATATCCTAATTGACACTCAGTACAACAACTGGAATTAAGCAATTGACATCTTAAACAATTAGACACTCCACATGAACCTATTAACATAAAACCATATGAATAATAAACATAGTCTTTTACCACAGGTACATCCATCAGGATTCAAATAGAAACCAGATGAACAGGTTTCATTGCAAGGATTGAGAGTAGTGACAGTTACAGTAACAGCTCTATTGTCATCATTAGCATTGTCTTGATCTGACACTCCATTTCTTGCCATCACTTGTATTTCGTATGTTGTGAATGGAGTTAATCCCATTAGTGTGTAGTTTGTATGCACTGTACTATATTCCATCAGACTGATTGAGCTGTTAATGCTGATGACATAATAAAGATCAGTTCTGCCTCCATTATAAGCAGGCTCAAGCCAGGAAATGCTAATGATAGTCTCTGCAACTGAAGTGTTTGTTAAGTTCTGAGGTGAGCTAGGAGGAGCTAAATTTAAAAAATAATTCATTGTATATATAATAAATCATGCTCACACTACTTACCAGTGCAGTTCACAGCAATACCTTCATGAGGTGCTCTATAATAACCAGACAGACACTGGCAGGACACAGAACCAGGACTAGCTGAGTAGCTGTTATTAGGACAACCATTACAATCACTGTCTCCTGCGAATGGCTTGTAGGTGCCTTCTTCACAAGCTACAGTGGACATAAATTAATGATTACTGTAACATTGAATGTGTGTGGCTGTGACAAAAAAAATTTTAAAGATCAAAGTGGCTACAAATAGCTACATGTGGGCTTAGCCACAACATTTAACACTAAAGTAGACTAAGCATGCATTAATAAAAATCTGTACCTTGACAAACTGTACCATTAGCTTCATATCCAGCATTACATTGACATGAAGCTGATCCAATCCACAATCCTAATATCCTACAACTTATACTTAAACTATTTGATGATGTAGGACTAGCATTATCAATGCAAGTAGCAATCACGTTTTTATCTGGATCAAAGCCCCCTTGAGGAGCTACTGTCTCTGGATAGACAGCTTTATTCAATACTTGATAAGGACAGACATTGTAGAATACCACAATTCGATTAATGACAGTACAAGATCCTTGGTCCCATATAGCCAGATACAGACCAGAACTAGACACAGCAAATGACTCAGAGTCTGTAGTAGCCCCTTCCTCAGCAGTGTGTATCAGACGAACACCAGCATATGAATAATAACTGATATTTCCTCGGTTTATGTCATCTGGTTTATCAGTGTCAAATGTCTGCACTTCAAATGTCTGCTGCTGGCCACACTGCTGGCTTGAGCACACCAAATTTGATGAGAATGTTAAATTGACTCTTAATTGACTTATTCCTGGTTCACTAATGTTAATGTATTGTGTTATCAACCAATTGCTCTGGAATGAAGATGTTCCTCCAGGGATCAGGGCAGCACAAACATTGATTCGATGTAAGCACTGTACTCCTTGATTACCCTCATACCACTACATGAGAATTGAACAATAATAATAATAATAATAATAATAATATAATCTTACAGTATCAACAAATTCAGCAGCACCAGGTCGACCTACTCCCCCTCCATCATAATCAATAGTCAGCCAAGTCCTATTTTCTCCTTCTGCTCCAACAAGAAAAGCTGACCTGTAGTTCTGTGAGTCCAGTAGGATCCTTTCATTAGGAAAAGTGACATTTCTTATTGGTATATCTGAACAAAAAGGTTCAGCATCATCAGGAGCAACACTTTGAGAAGAGACACACTGAAAGAAACTTAAACTGCCAAGCAGTAAAAGGGAAGAACAGAAAAGAGTAGCCATGATATCTTGAAGTGTTCTTCTTCACTCAGCAAACTGTGTATTCATGCCCTTTATGCTGACTGTTAGTTATTATTAGACTTGCAGTGCACGTGCTTGTATAATAATACAAGCATGTGCATAGCAAGCTACATGTAAGTGGTTTAGGTTGCATTAACATTATTAGTATTTTTAAAATAATAATGATAATAATTGTGACAAATATAAACAACACAATAAATAATAAAAATGTTTCTTGATAATTATTATAAAATAAGTACTATCTCCTTCCTTTCCTAAAGCAACACACAGTTAATCCCTACCTCTCTCTTCCTCACTCTCTCTCTCTCTCTCACCTTCTATCCTGAAAGGCTTGTAATGTTTGCAGGTGAAGTGCTCGTGCCTCCATAGCCTGTGACTGTCTGCTAGTGTGAGTTGACATGTACAATGGTACATTCATAACCTACAATGTACATGTACATTGTATACTTTGAATTGACACTTCTCTAGTACATGTACAGTACCTTTACTTGTCCTGCATTAGTTAGTGATGGTAATAATGCAGTATCTGCTTGATCTTCATCCTATTAATCATAATAATGGAAGTTACATGTATATGTACATGCATATCAGCAGCAGCAGCATATTGCATAACAAAGATAATCTACTCATAAAAACCATAAAGTAAGCTGATGTGCAAATACAATTATAACTATTGAATAAACTTCAGAATTGTATCATAATCTAAGTTGAAATTGAAAGAAACTGGAGCCATACATGTATTCATAAATTATTATTAAAAATTCAAAAACCATAAGCATGTACATGTACATGTATAGTACAAGTATTGTACTTGATGTTGGCATCTGTCACTGAAAGTTGCTTCTGCAGTTTGTCTCTCATCAGATGTTACCATAACACCATCTAGTGATTGTAAAGAAGGCAGTTTGTATATCAGTAATGACCTGTGCTGCATTCTTCTGGAGATCTAAGAGAATATACAAAAGTTTAATGCAGGAAAAGATAATTACACATATGCACATGTACTTAACTTACAGGATTGCTAATAATTGATAATTCTATTAAATAAGAAAGACAGCCTAACTTCTCCAGTTCACTATAATCCTAAAATTAAGTACAAAATTTCTTTCTAATACTCTCTCTCTGTCTCTCTCATTCTAACTTGTATCCTATTCATCCCTAGGTAAAGTCTCTCTAAATTCTTCACAGATTCAAAATGTGAGAGATCAGACAATCTATAGCATAAATACAGTGCATAACCTCAATCAGTTTAATGTATTGCATTACAGTACCTGTTCTCTTCAAGGTGGAACTCTTTGAGAGTCACCAAATGTTGCAGTGAGTTTTCTTGCATGCATTTTATTTTATTTCGATCAAGGACTAGCTCAGTTAAATGATGTAGTCCATCCAATCCTTCAATACGACTGATCTCATTTCCTACATGTATACATGTACATTATTGTCCATAAGGATAATGGTCTTTCTCCATCTTCCTTACCTTGTAGAAAGAGAGCTCTTAGTCCAGGGAGTCTGTACAATTGCAAAGGTACTAATGAGTTGATTCCGTTGTATGCTAAGTGAAGGACTTGTAGGTTTTGCATTACAGGATCACCTCCTCCTCCTCCTCCTGATGATGTTGAAGAGGGTCCACTGCCAGTAGGTCTGATAAGGTACTCTACTCGATTGTGATTGAGACAAAGAACCTGAAGAAATCAGAATAGAGAGAGAGAGAGAGAGAGAGAGAGAGAGAGAGAAATTAACATCAGGAGCATTTGAAGAAAGTGTCTACATGCAGAAAGTTGAAGCCAGAGATGTAGAAATTGAGTAAATTAGTGTAAAAATTTAATGTATGCATACATGTATACTGTAGCTGGCTGAAGTTTAAAAAATACCTTTAATTTGCTGAGATGTATCAGGCCAGAGAAACTCGTCAGGGAATTGTGCTCAAGATTCAAACTAAGAGAAAAGAAACCAAAACATCATCACTGACATCATTGTACATGTAAAAAAGCTTCCTCACCTAACTAGATTGTCAAGACTACTAACTGGAGAGAGGTCTACATGCTTTAGGCCACATTGAACAAAGTCCAATTTCTTTATTGCATTGAAGTCATTACTGTGACACTTCTCATAAACCAAGTCTTGGGAGAGTCTAAAAGAAGAGAAAAAGATTGATACAAGTGTAGATTGACCTTAAAATTGTACCTTCCACCAAGTTTCTCCTTCGCAAGCCCAATCTCTGTATTAGTCTGGAGTTGAGGATGGAAATAGAAAGAAAGATAAATTTATCATTATTATTATTATTATTTCTCCATTCATCCTTCCTCACCACTGCTCTTGCATCAATTGCTTTTATAGTTGGGAAGTGATAAATGCAAAACAACCGATAATGAGCTGAGTGACTAGCCAGAGGATTGCAAGTCAAATCTATTGCCACCAAATGAACCAAAGGCTACAGTAGAGAGAGAGAGAGGGGGAGAGAAAGAACAAGTAAATATATGCACATGTACATGCTAGTTGTACCTTTAATGAAAATAATTGTCTAAGATTTTCCAAGTAATTATGACTAGCATAAAACTCTTGAAGTGAAGTTAGTGTCTAAATACATAAGTAGACATGTGCAAATACATTTATACTGTATAATACAGAGTACATCAGTAGTTGTACATGTAGTTCTTTCCCTTACTTCAATGCCAGTGATGTCTCTGATGTAGTTTCTACTGATATTAACGTAAGTTAGCTGAGGGAGAGGAGAGGAGGAGAGAGGTAGAGAGGTCAAGTGATTATTCTCCAGAGAGAGCCACCTCAGGTGAGGGAACCAGTGAAGAGACAAACAGTTTTGAAGATAATTATCATCCAGTGTCAGCTCTTCTAGCTTATGACAAGATTCAATACCCTTGAATTATAATAAAAATTAAAAAAAAATAATGATAACTGAAATACATGTACATGTACATAACAGAAAAAATGCTCTAATTTTAGAGGAGAAAACTTTAAGGAATTGCTAAAATTTTTGGCCATGAGTCATAAAGTATACAAAATTTTTAATAACATTCTTAGATGTCTATACCTGTATATCAGTCAGTGCGTTGCCTCGGAAACACGCCCACTTGAGATTAACGAGTTGATCAAGACATGAAATTTGATGCACGTGCATATCAGTAAGATCAAGGGCTGTGATCTGATTGGCCCATTCTGGCGTGCTTTGCTCAGGACAAAGTCTATAAAATAAAAATATATTAATGTACGTACATGTAAATTTATCTCCTTTTTCTCTGACTCTTAATTCTCTCATTTTCTTCACTCTTTCTCTCACTTGCTCTTAGATATGATTTGTTCTGCTATTGTACAAAGCATTAGTGATGGAGATATATCAATGTCGGTCTGACAGTGAGGAAGGAGAGAGGAGAGGGAGACATGGGATGAGACAAACTGTTTAAGGACGGACGCCTTCTCTTGATCGGTGATAGTCTCGCCGTTAAGAGTCTGGAGGGTGCGTAATGTACCAATAATGTATATCTGAGAATTTTTCTATAGAAAGAAAAATAGAGAAATTAACAAGAAAAGAGAGAAGTTTGTACATGTACATGTAACTAATAGTATAATAGAGTAACTACAGATGTTTAAAATGCTCAAGCAATGATGGCATTTCTAGTAAATATTACATTTTGCTTCCACAAATTGTGACGAAGGTCGAGTGAGAGGAGTGATGGGGCGTGCCTCTTTAAGAGGAGGATGTCTTGATAAGGAAATGATAAAGAGTTCCAACTGACATCGAGTACATGAAGCCTTGGTAGACCCTAAATAATGTAGCAGGAAGTATGAGATGAAATGTACATGTACATGTCAATCCAATTGCATTTAGAGGTAGAGTTAATACCATGTACTAATAGTACACCATACAGGGAGTTTTGGAGCAACTTTAAAAATTCATAAAAAATCTAAACTTGATCGGAATCAGCTCAAACTTTCTACGAAACATAAGTACATGTATATGCATCAGAAAATATTATAAAAATGGAAAATTCTCTCCTAGTCATTTTTGGCAAAATTTGGCCGATGACCCTGTACTATAGTACAGGGACTTTGGCCCAATTTTGGAGCAACTTTAAAAATTCATAAAAAATCCAAACTTGATCGGAATCAGCTCAAACTTTCTACGCAACATAAGTACATGTATATGCATCAGAAAATATAATAAAAATGGAGAATTCTCTCCTAGTCATTTTTGGCAAAATTTGTCCAATGACCCTGTACTATAGTACAGGGACTTTGACCCAATTTCGGAGCAACTTTAAAAATTCGTAAAAAAATTCAAACTTGATCGGAATCAGCTCAAACTTTCTACGCAACATAAAAACATGTACATGTACTTGTATATGAACAAAAAATTGTAAAATAAAAATGTAGGATTTTCTGTACATGTAAATGCATTACAAACCTTTAGGCCATCTAATGTTGCCAAGCGATTGAAACTCAGGTCCAATACATGAAGGTTGGGCTACAAGGAATAGGTATACATATATGTACATGCCCATTTAAAATAGAGCTTAAACTTCATTGATTTAATTACCATGTGGGCAAAGTCCTCAGCAGTTGATATTTCATTGCACGAGATGGAGAGACAGGATAGATGAGGAAGGAGAGAAGAAAAACGAAACCGAGTTAACCGATTGCAAGACAAATCTAACGTCTACAAGAAAGAAAAAAAAGGATAACAAAAAAATTATATTTTAAGTTACATTTACAATGTAGAGACAGTTATTAATAGACTAGTGTTGTACCTTTACAAATTCGAGTGATTTTGATTCTGTTACTTTTAGCAACATATTCTCATCCAACATTACCAGCCTATAACAGATAGAAAATACATGTATACACATAGAGATACAGTACATCATGTACATGTACATGTACATGTATGTAAATTTAGAATACAGTAAATGTGCTATAATAGTACTGTATTTTTTTATCTCCATTGTCTTACTTTGGTCTTCCTTCAGGCTGAGGAAAAGAATTAATCAAATCACTGTCATCATTCTTCTTACTACTCCTGTCCTCCTCCTCCTCTCTCTCTCTCCCCTCACTCTCTCCCTCTCTCCTCCCTCCCTCCTCTCTCCCTCTATCATAAGTCACAGTCACAAGATATTCTGGTAATATTAGTCTAGAGTCATAGACGTAGTACTCTCTCAGTGGTAAGGACTTGACAGACACGGAAGACATTGAGATGTTCCTGTATAAGCAATGAGTGTCTTCTTGCTTTACTGGCCTTGAGAGAGAAATAATAGTGAATTGATATATACATGTACATGTACAGCTATTATTTATGGTACTGTGCATGTACATGACTGCATGTACGTCTCTTTAATGCTTACATTTCTTTCCCAACCAGTTCCGCCATATTCCCAATGTACACTTTACAAAGGAGGAGTTCGCCTTCCAACACTCCTCCATTTTGACCACGCCCACTGTCGATAAATCTTGCCGACTCAGCAATCCCGACGCTATTAGTCAGTACCACATAAGGTCTATCCAGAGTGATGGGACCACACCCACTGTTGCCCATGGCAACCAGGTCCGTCCCTGGCGACCATACGATGAAGAGGTAGTCCAAGAGATCACGAAATGCAGTTTTGGGACTGAGAGATTTAGCTTCTAAGAGAGAGCGAAGAGTGTCCATGAACTGGTTATGGAGTAGCGAGTTTTCTATTCGTAATACTGACTTTATATTTAAATGAGTAATACCCTGTGAGGAGGGAGAGGAGAAGAAAGAATTAATAATTAAAAATGCAGTGTTAAAATTAGTGCTAGAAATATTATTAAAAAATACTAAAGATAATAAAAATGATACTCACAGAAGCACAAGTTGCAATGAATCGTGACATTACTAGCTCGACGCAAGGTCTGTACCAACTGAACTCATCAGTCCCTTGAATATATCTCACGTTACCAGCACTCTGTAGCTCGAGCATCCATTGCCCTATCGTCTTATCTTGCTTATCCCTCACCCTATCTCTCTCAGTGTCCATCTCAGCCTTTAGTGTAGAGAGAGATGAGTCTAGTTGTTCTATTCTCTCTTTAATGGCGCCTATCTTCTTTGCTTTGCAGGTGTCATCGTTAAGATTAGAGTGCTGCTCTAACTGGAGGAAAAGAGAGAGAGAAAAGTTGTACAGTATGAACTGCAATACATTCACTATTGAAGTATAAAAACTCACTGATTTAATGTGTTCGAAGAGCACTCTCATTCTTAGTCCAGTTTCCACGCGATGGGCGGCATACTTCTTGTCTAGTTTGATGTTCTCTTGCCACGAGGTCTGTCTCTGGTTGTGTATCTTTAAACGATAAAACTGTTTCTTCTTATTCACTAGCCCCTATAGCATACATTGATAATAAAAATGTACATGTATGGAAAAAATTAATATAGAATGTACACCTCCTATGCTTCTAATTGTGCTTTTAATTGAGAATATACCAGTACAATGTAACTCTTTTCTACATGTAGTTGAGTACTCTTGGCTTACTTTTATTAAATCTCTGAGTTCAGTGGAGTCCACATCTCTACTGTCCAGCCACTTCAGCCAGGGCATGTGATAAAGGATGAGTGTAGAGTAATTGCAGAGTCGACAGATTGAGGAGGGAGAGTAGAGCGGGTCACAAAGTGAGAGAGATTGGAGTGACGTTAAACAATAGAGCTGAGAGAGCTCCTGAAGAAAGAAAAGAGAAGAAATGAAAAAAATGAAGAGGGTTCAGTTGCACATGTAGAAGTGACTGTCAACTATTGTGCATATTTTACAAGTGATATGTACATGCAAATTTATGTGATGTGCAAATTTTTAAGGATTTGCATGTACTGCTTTACCTCAAGTGATGTAAGAGGGTTGCCGGAAAGATTAAGCTTTCGTAGTCTGTGAAAGGAAGACAGTGATCCGTTGTCAAGCGTTGATATATAATTACTAGCTAAATTGAGGTCTAGTAGCTCAGTTAAAGTATCAATATTCTGTAGAAAGAGAAGAGATGATAAAGAAGAAAGTAAGAATATAAATACAGTAAGGTTTACAAGCTTACTTCGATTTTATTAATTTTGTTATTATTGAGCCACAGCGTCTCAAGTTTAGAAAGATGTGAAATGCCGGTTATTGCCTTTATCTTATTAGAATAGAAATAAACCTTCACCAACTGCGGGCAATTAGTCAGATCCTCAATTACCTAGAGATGAAATAAAAACCAGAAATAAAACATGGTAAAATCAATCATACATGCATATGTACATGTATTTACCTCAATGTCTCCTTCGCAGATCCACAATTCCTTGAGAGAGGGGCAAGATCCAACTCCATTCATGCTGAATATTCTTTGATTGATGATTCTCAGAATGGAGAGGGAGGGAAAATGGGAGAGACCCACTATACGGGGGCAGCCGAAAAAGAAAATCTCGAGGCACTTTACTTTCAAGCCAACACCCTGGGGGAGCTTGTCGTAATTCAAACCATTCACAGTGCACTAAAAAGAAAGAGTGATGAAACGTGTGAGAGAGAAGAAGAGAGATATATATATATATAATGGTAATGAATGTGTTTAACAGATTGGTTTATGGTTTTTAAAATGCTTCAAGTCAGATTGCTCACCAATTCTTGCAGTATGGCCTCATCTCCTTCTTTTTCCGTCTCTTCACTAGCCATGGCTTTTTGTTTCGACTCAATATTCACAGAAAGAAGTGTGATTATTGATACTCTGTCCCCCTGTTGTTCTGTTGCCGTGACAACCGTGTGTAAAGGTGCCACGTGGTTAATTTATTATTCATTGATATTAAAACTTGACTAATTAATTACATCAATTAATAATGGCTGCAAAGATTGCTGAATCAATATCTTTCCTTTTTATTTTTCTCTTATGGTGAGTCTCATTCTTTACGCATAATCTCTCATTCTTCACTTGCAGCAGCTTCCAATTAGCAGTATCGAGCAATGAGCCTCAACTCTCATTCACTGATTGGTGCAAACTCCACAGCAAGAGCTACAGGACCATCACAGAAGCAAAAGAAAGAGAAAGTGTGTACAAGAGCAATGCAGACCTGGTACAGCAGCTCAATAATGAATATAGGGAGAGGTTAGTATCTAAAATTTAAGTAAACCTATCTACTTTTTATTGTAGAAACGTGACCTTTTCTTTAAACCATTTTGCTGACCTTTCGATTGAGGAATTCAAGAAGTTAGTATTAATGTCACCACAAAAACCTCAACCACTCCCTAAGCAGAGGCAAGTCCTTGATATAAGACACATATTTACAATCAAAAAACTCGAATTTTATAAATTTTATAATTTATTTAAGAAGTACTACATAGCATATATACATTTCTATTATAGGTACCACTCATTCTCTCTCCCTCAAGACCCACCAAACACGTTTGACTGGCGTGACAAACATGTTGTAACAAGTGTTAAGAACCAGGGCAGTGCGGGGACGTGCTGGGCGTTCAGTACAGTCGGTAATGTTGAAGGACAGTGGGCACTAGGAGGCCATAACTTAACTTCTCTCTCGACGGAACAACTTGTAGACTGTGATGATACTTATGATCATAACAAGTAAGTGAAGTAACAATTAATGCACTTGTAGCCTTCAATTTTATATAGTATAACCATCATTATTGTATAACTATATTTTTAGTTTGCACATGGATTGTGGTGTTTTTGGTGGTTGGCCTTATCTTGCTTATGAATACATTAAGAATGAAGTAAGGGAGAGTCTTTGATGCATAATAAACTAAGACATCAATCACAATAAACTAAAACATCAATCACACAAAATTTTAGAGATACAATGTACAACACTTGGGCCATTAACAGTGATATTTTTATTTCAAAAAAAGGTCTTCAATGCATTATTATTAACAGGGAGGTATAGAGAGAGAAGAGGACTATCCATACTGCAGTGGTCAAGGGACTTGCTTTCCTTGCGTACCGAGCGGTTGGAATAAGACAAGATGTGGACCGCCTCCTCTTTATTGCAATGACACGTTCAGTTGCACACACAAACTGGACAAGAGCAAGTTTGTGCAAGGATTAAGCATAAAGTCGTGGATAGCTATTCAAAAAGTAAATAAAGATAAATATACTTAAACTGTAATGGTGGATTTCCTTTTTGTCATTAACTATGTATCTAAAATATAGATTAACATAACAAGATAGTTATTATTTTTTATTAATATAATTTTTAGGATGAGGTAGAAATGCAAGCTGCTCTTATTAAGCAGGGTCCACTCTCTGTCCTAATTAATGCCCTCCTGTTGCAGTTTTACAGATCAGGAGTTTGGGATCCTATTCTGAAATGCAACCCCCAAGAATTAGACCATGGTAACGTAATTAATAGTACACATACACACATGAAAGCAGCATTATAAATTAATAAAATGAAACAAAAAAATTAATTGAAAATGACAAATTTTGGAGCTGCAATGTAAACCTTAAAAAAATCCTTGCAGCTAATTACAGTTTTCACTTCTAATCTCATTATCATTAATTAAAAATCATTAATAGCTGTCTTGTTGGTTGGCTATGGAACTGAGAAAGGATTATTGGAGGATAAACCTTACTGGGTAAGCCCCTTTAATCAATGCAATTAACAAATTGATACATAATTCTTGTCTTTATATAGCTCATCAAAAACAGGCAAGTGTAATAGACCATGCATGAATATCATTATTGCCTATAATAATTATGCTCTGTAGTTGGGGCATTAAATGGGGTATGGATGGATACTTCAAGATGATAAGAGGAAAAGGGAAATGTGGTGTTGACCAGCAAGTCACATCAGCTGTACTCCAATAATGAACAATACCAAGATACCAAGAGTACATGCACTGAATGGCTGAAAACTTACTACCCATTTTGTTTTTTTATGTTTTTATTAAGTATAATTTTGAGATAAAAATATTTAATTTTTTTGGTTTAAATCTGATGCACAGATAAAATAAAGCATCAATTAATTAACTTTGTACACATTTCAATCTTAAAACCAGTTTACTCTTCTGGTTCTTCCTCCTCGTCATGTGAGTTATAGCCGCCACAGGGGGTGTGGTCTGAGAGGCGTGTCACACTCCCATCCTTATACCAGTGAGCTAAGAGCCGAACTTCAAACTTTGCAAGCGGAAAACCCAATAATTTCTAAAAAAACAAAATTAAAAATAAACTTGACTAAATTCTTTTTGATGCTCTCACTAATATTCTTGCTTGTTCTGGAGTGAGTGTGTCGCCAGGAGAACAGACAACATGATCCTGTAACAGGATGACTTTGCCTTTCTCAAGTTTAGTAGGTAGACCCAACGAACGGAGATGGGGCTCAATGCTATGAGTGAACTGATCCAAAGGACCTTGAGAAAGAAAGAAATGAGAGGAGAGAGGTAAGAAAAGAGAGTAAGAAAGCAAAAGAGAAGGAGGTGAGGATTAACAGAGAGGGTTAGGGAGTGAGCAATAGTTATACCTTCTTCTAAAGCTATTCTCTGTTCAGCTACAAAACCTGATCTGGCATAGTCCATTTCATAGTAAGACTCAAACCATGACTTCACCAGGGAGTTGTCCTCGTTAGTAAAAAGAAGACCAACATTGCCTCTTAGAAACTGGGAGGGTGAAAGAGAGATAGAGGAGTCTTGATTAAATGTCGTTGCAATGTGATTTCAATAATAGTATGAGCTAGGGTATTTAAGTCAAAAATCACTAGGAGAGAATTTTTCATTTTTATAACTTTTTCTGATACATATACATATACTTATGTTGTGTAGAAAGTTTGAGCCGATTCTGATCAAGTTTGGATTTTTTACAAATTTTTAAAGTTGCTCCAAAATCGGGTCAAAGTCCCTGTACTATAGTACAGGGTCACAGGCCAAATTTTGCCAAAAATGAAAAATTGAGAATTCTCCATTTTTATAACTTTTTCTGATACATATACATATACTTATGTTGTGTAGAAAGTTTGAGCCGATTCCAATCAAGTTTGGATTTTTTACGAATCTTTAAAGTTGCTCCAAAATCGGTTCAAAGTCCCTGTACTATAGTACAGGGTCACAGGCCAAATTTTGCCAAAAATGACTAGGAAAAAATTATTCATTTTTATTACATTTTAAAATACACATACATGTTCTTATATAGTGTAGCAAGTTTGAGCTGATTCCCATAAAAATTGGATTTTTTACAAAATTTTAAAATTAACTCACGTTAGCAATCTTATGCAATCCCTCCTTGTATTCCTGGGCCTCATCGTTACCCAGTGCCAGCTGCATTACCCGGTTCTTGCCAAGGAAGAACCTGCTGTGTTTCCACTGAGTACGGACGTCTTTTAATTTACTATTTCTCATATTTTCAACGCTGAACACATAAAGATTTGAATATTGGTCGCAGCAGTCGCGGACATCTTGAAGGAGAGACGCTTTTCGCTCTGACCCTTTCTTACGCGTATTAGTCAGTGAATCTACAATCATTAATTATAATAATAAAACTATAAAAATAGAAATAATATTGGGTGAAAATGAATAGATGAGTCACAATTTGTCACAAAATGGAGTGTTGCAAATTGAAAATAAGCCAAATAAATTTTTGGTCATGTAACTAACTTACAAACTCTGTTTCTCTTGGATTTTGGCATTTTCTCGTCTCCTGCTTTTCTCTTTCTTTTTGCCCTAACAATGCCACGTGGTTACCTGTTGTTGCTAAACCACGCCTTGTTTTTACATCTAGCCACGCCTTCTTGATAATAATTATGCTCCACCCACAATCATGGCTGACACTAAGGTAAAATTTATTATTATTTTATAATCAATTATTGTCATTCTCTCTCTCCCTCTTACTATTTCAAGATGGAGTTTGCTGTTCAGATGACATGCAAATCTTGTGAAGAGGCAGTGAAAGCAGCTCTGAACGTACCAGGTATAAATAATACTAACAATAATAATAATAATAATAATAATAATAATAATAATAATAATAATAATAATAATAATAAATAAAAATAAATAATAATAATAACAACACTAGGTATTAATAGTGTATACGTTGATGTTCCGAATGAAGTTGTGATAGTAGAGACCTCACTGCCTTCTTCTAACGTTCACAAGTTATTGGAGTCCACGGGAAAACTCATCGTGTTCCGCGGGTTCGGTGGACAAGAGCAGGCACCTACTAGTCACCAAGGAGCAGCTGTTGTTGTAATGAAGGGAAGTGGACCAGTTAATGGCCTACTGAGAATGGTTCAAGTAAGTATGGGCATCAAGGTCTAATGTATTAATTGTTTTTCATGATTTCTTGTACATCCACATGTAGGTGTCGTCCAATGAATGTGTGATAGAAGGTACGATAGATGGTCTTACTCCAAATAAAGAGCACCTCCTGAAAATACACGATCATGGCGACTTATCAAATGGTTGTGAGAGGTAAGTATGGCAGTGAGGTTGTAGTTTTATTATAATATTAATATCATTGCAGCTGTGGTGACGTGTACAATGTTATGATGAGCAAGAACGGGAAAGTAAGGACACATTTATCACATTTTATCACTTGTAATTTATTTATAAAATTTATATTTTTTATATTTCATATTTTAAACTAAGCTCTATAAAGAAATAATGTACAAGTATTAGACTTGTAAATTATTTCTTCATAGAGTGTGTCACATTCATTACCGCCAGTTGGTGATATTGCTGCTTTGCAATCTGATGGATCCGGTCGAATTTCATTTCAAACAAAGTCAGAGAGAGTCAAAGTGTACGATGTGATTGGACGCTCAATGATACTACATTCATCAATACCGTCAGTCTATGGAACCAGAAGGTGCAAACTGAAATAACTAGGATGAATGATACGGTGGTTTTTAATTGTACTACATTCCAGGTTAATGTGTGGCATTATTGCTCGATCAGCCGGCTTATTTCAAAATACGAAAAAAGTTTGTACGTGCGATGGAGTCACCATTTGGGACGAAGCAGCCTCACAGAGACAGAAATGACAATAATTTTGTATATATCAATGTTATTAGCTAATTTTTTATCATGATAATGAGATTAATAAGACTGTACAAGTATAACATCATGAAGAATACCTGTATTCAACTCTGCTTTGGTCAGTGTTAAGTAAAGGCTACTATTTGATATGGGCTACTGCTGCTGGCTTTGTGCCAGGCTCTGGATGTAGGGCTACTACTAATGGCTAACAAAGAGCAAAGAATGAGTGTATCTTCCAGGAGCTACCTATTGGCATACAATCTCATTCAGACTACTGGGTAAGTGTGTTTATGTTGCTTCCCACTGCACTGGAATATCTGATTATTAGATGGACTTTTATTCTTATGAAAGCTGTACAGTATGTTATTGAAGGTAACTATGGAATAGAAGTAGGAACACCTGGATTATATCTAAAAGTGCATAAAGAATTGAAGTTGTTTCAAGGTCTAGCATGTCTTGAAGTTAGAGATTTATAATGCTATCCTTAACTTCTCTCTCTTTCAGATAATTCACAGTATTATTGGTATTATACGCTCTAATGTCGTATTGACATTCTTTCAAATTTATTCGCGGAATATAATACTTTGGGGAATCATTGATTTTGTACCAGTTTCCTACGTAAGTATTTGGGCCCCTAAATTCAGCTAATTCCACTTTCTATATCTTAAAATAGTTGGAACAGTTTATATGGCCACTTGTGGTTCTGCTAGTGTGGTCAATTTCAGAAGTCAGTCGATACATATACTATGCTTGCATGCTTATTGGCAGCACGCCTTACTTCATCATATATCTGAGGTAGGTATTATGATTATTCCATTGAATATGAGTAGATCTACTAACTGCTTGAGTATGAAAATTACTATTAAGACAGTAGTTAATTGACTATTTCTTCATATAGATACTCACTTTTTATTGTGCTGTATCCTGTGGGTGTGTTTGTAAGTTTACAAATAATAAATTGCATTAATTAATACATTATGTTTTAGAGTGAACAAGTACTTCTTTTTTATGCATTGCCTATCGTTCGTGCTACACAGAGGTGGTCAATATTTCTACCTAATCCTTGGAATTTTTCTTTTTCTTATTACTATTTTGTCATTAGTGGAATAATCCAGTATCTCATAGGTGAATAAAGTATTTTATACTATAAATAATTATTTTTTGTACTTTAATATAGTTTTCCCTCATTTGTATGATCGTATGATACATCAGCGCATGAAAGTATTATGTAAAGAACTAAAGAAGGCTCAATAAATTAAAGGAACATCATTTTGCAATAACATAATAATATAAATCAATAGTCATATTTCATTCCAAATAAATTTTGTGTTAGCTGTTTTTTTTTTATTTTCGAACAGCATGTTTATAAATTAACGTGGCATAAGTATGAAGCTATATAATTTTGTGATTATTGCATGGACGCTGACTGCAGTTCTTGCTGAATCTCTTAATTAATTGTGTCAAGAGTGTATAATAAATTATCCACTCTTGATTCTGTCAGTTGAAGTTCACCACCCAAGGCCTCAAAACTGATAATTTAAATTTCTATTTCATAACATGAACATTTAATACCATCCAAACTATTGTGGGTTGCACTATAATATGATATTCATTACAATTAATCAACTATAGTAGTATAGCATGGTAAGCTAATCCATCATGAGGTTGAATGGAGCAACAGAGATGTATCTAATAGGCTATAACCTTCTGCAATCTATTGGGTAAGTCAATGATTCAATGGCACTTAGAATCTTTTACTGCATTTAGATGGAGTACCATTTTACTGAAAACACTAAAATATTATATTTGTAATCATGAAGCAAGGCCTGGGCTAAATGGAACAGCAATTGGAGAATTGAGGTTCTTTCAAACTCTTGCTTGCCTTGAAGTCAGTATGCAGTTTTAACCTTGCATACACATGTCACATTTCTTACAGTTAGTGCATTGCATTGTTGGGATTGTGCCTTCCAGTGTTGTATTGACATTTTTTCAACTTTTCTCAAGAGTTGCTGTTGTCTGGGGTGTACCTAGTCATTGTGTAAGCCTCATATCTAATTGATTAAATTTTCAAATTTATTTTAAGATGAATCAATCTGTAGGTATGCTACTAGCACAAGTAGGATGGTCAATCACAGAGGTCATTCGCTATATTTATTATGCCTGCCTGCTTATGGGGAGTAAACCTTATGCTATCACTTACTTGAGGTATAATAGTAATACATTACCATGCAGAGTGCATGCACAATTCTGAAATTAAACTTTCCATTATTATTTTTAGGTACACACTATTTTATGTATTGTATCCTATTGGTGTACTGGTAAGTTATAATGAGCATGACAAGTCCTCACAATTTTCTGATGCTATCTTCCTTGAGTTGAATCAAGCCTTATGTTTATAGGGTGAGCAGATTCTTGTATATAATGCATTGCCATTAGTACGTGCAACTCAGCAATGGTCAATCTTTCTGCCTAATCCATGGAACATTTCTTTCTCTTATTATTACTTTGGATACTTTGGAATAATGCTGTATTTATCTGGTAAGAAAATTTTCATTTTTAATCATGTAATTTTATTTTTTTTGTGTGCAGTCTTTCCACAATTGTACGGCCACATGATAAAGCAGCGCCAAAAAGCATTGTACAAAGAGAAAAACAAGAAATCCTTATAATTAATTATTATTGAATTAATTAATTACCTTATTAATAAAATCAATGAATATTAATTAATTATAATCGTTTAATCAAAGATGGCTGCCAATAACAATGCTGAAACTACAACTCCAAGCAAAGGCAACAGCGTTAGCGGACTAGCTAAAGGCTACCTAGTAGCTTATAACGTAATATTATCTTCCGGGTAAGACTAAAATAAAGCTGCAAAGCATTTTATTTCATGTATTTTTTCTCACATGGCCACGACTTCAATAGTTGGGGCATGATCCTCTTGAAAACCTTACAGTACATGCTTGATAATGAAGGTGAGTATGGGATCTGGAAAGGAGTGCCTGGGCTACACTTTGTGATAAAAGATCAACTCCGTTTGTTTCAGACACTTGCATGCATGGAAGTGAGTGACAGCGATATAAGTTAATGCCAGTAATAGCTCACCACCTCTCTCTCTCTCTCTTAGGTCGTGCATTGTATTATTGGTATCGTCTCTTCCAGTGCATTGCTGACATTTTTACAAGTTCTGTCAAGGGTTTTTGTTCTATGGGGACTCATCGAAGGCGTAGCAGGAGTAAGTACATGCCAAAAATCTCTGAGTCTGAGGAGTGTTGATTAGTATGTATAGTAGCAAGATTTGCATAGCTTTGGCAGACAACAGTTTATCTTATTGAATATGTCATCACAGCTTAATGATTGAATTTCTAATAGTCCAGCTCTATTCTTATTACTATGCTAAAGCGGGCTATGCTAAGTAATGCTCATTCTAAGATTTATAAATAAATTTTGGAAGACTAAAAGAAAGAGATTTAAGGAGAACTAGGCTAAATATGTGAGACCAAAATTCCCCTCTAGATCCAACAATGGTTATGCATGCAAAAATTTCATAATAGCATAGCATCCGTTGTCACCACCCACAGGTGAATGATTCTGTAGGACTAATGGTGGTATTGCTTGCCTGGTCTATTACTGAAGTTATTCGTTATGCCTTCTATGCCTGCACACTAATAGGGAATACACCTCGCATGCTCACATACATGAGGTCAGTTGTATCAATGAATGGAGACTGTCATAATAGTTTATTGTATTGTAGGTATACTCTTTTCTATGTCCTTTATCCAACTGGAGTAACAGTAAGGGAGAGAGAGAGAGAAAGAGGGAGGGAGGGAGGGAAAGAGAGATAGAGGGACAGACACAGACAGATGAGGGGATGATCAAAGATTCTTTTTTTAAAGCTAATAAAATTATTGTTATTATAATGAAGTCAAATCTTTTCTCTTTGTAGGGCGAACAGATATTGTTTTTCACAGCACTTCCGGTGGTGCGTGCTACCCAGCAGTGGTCAATATCTCTTCCTAATCCTTTGAATTTTGCTTTCTCTTATTACTACTTCCTTATATTTGGAGCCTTCATATACATACCATGTAAGTATTACTTAGTAACACAATACTACCACGTAATAATGGCATAATGTTAACTCCATAGCAATATTGGCAAAATTTGGCCAATGACCCCTGTACTATAGCACAGGGACTTCGGCCCAATTTTAAAAATTTGTAAAACTTTCTACAGCATAAAATGTTTTGGCAAAAATATAATCTTTAAAATCAGGTTTTTATCATTAATTTTTTGCAGTATTTCCTCAACTTTATGGTCACATGATAAGCCAACGGAAGAAGGTGCTATCAAAGGTCAAAGCTGAATAGAAGAACTAATAATAATAATAGCTACCATTGTTAATAATTTTATGATTAATATTTGATTAGTTTTTTTGATTGGAAGAAATTATCTTTAAGAAGAAAATCAACTAGAGTTTAAGACTCAAATTATAATAATAACAAGAATAATAATAACTCGGTTAAATAAAGGTTCAAGTTAAGTTTGTTCCAGTTCTTAAGCACTCTCAGCTGCAATAGGAAGATTAGACTGACCAGAAAATCCTGAAACAACAGAAAGAAGAGAATATTAAACAATACAGTAGTAATCGAACAGTATACTTACCAGACATTTGCTGCTGCTGCTGCTGTTCATGTTCACGAAGAACATTAACAGCTTCTTCAACCTTGCTATTGAGAGACTCTGGAGCCTCCAACATATGAAGGAGCTCAGAGTTGTCCATCTCCAGCAACATCCCAGTTATCTTCCCAGCCTTATCAGGGTGAGAGGCAGAGATAGCCCTGTACAAGTGCTCTCCAATGATCTGCTTCCTCTTCATGGGGTCAGTCTGAGAGAGGGTGGACAGCGGCTCTGGGTCTTGTCCCAGATCCATTCCTCCGCCCATGGGTCCTCCTGGTTGGTTCCGAGCACCCGCAGAGAATTGGAGCTTCGTTTGCTGGACTCCACCTGGTCGTCCTTGAGGATTGAGTCGCTGCTGTGGTGCTATCCTCTGAGTCTGAGGAGTGTTCATCCTCTGACCACCAGCGCCTCCTGCTCCTCCAACCGAAGGACGTGGGACATTGGCTCGTGTCCTGTGGTGCATGTTGTATCCTCCGGAGAATGGGCGGTGCATCGGTCCACCTTGCCATGGACGAGCGGTGTACCCTGCAGCCATTGCTGTGAAGAATGGTCTCTGGTTCTGTATGGGAATACAAAAAAAGCCAGTATGATTTGAGTGTCACTAACAATAGCAACACTCAAATCAGTCAGTCAGTAATGTGTGTGTATAATGTAATGATGTATGTTAATGTCAGTGGACTGTAGTGTTACTGTAGTGTTAATGGTGTGCGGTGAGTATGGGGAGAGAAGAACACAATATGGGTAAGACATGATTGATGTGACAGAAGGAAGAGAAGAGAGAAGGTACTTGAAAAGCAGGAGATATATAGAGAGATAGCAATACGATAGGTATACTTGAGAAACTAAGTATTAATGGACAGCTCAACCGGACATAAACATTCCATGATGACTTGATATACCATTACTAAAATGACCTTTTTCCTATTGACAATTTAATAATTGGTTCTATTGGAGAGAAGGGGGAACAACTTGCACACATACATACACAGATTACAATACAGTAGAGGGATTAGTCAGGATCTTACTATCAGATTCATAATGAATGAATTGAAATAGGATTAGTGATTCGATGAGGCTAATAGCAGAAAAGACTCCAAAATAAAATATTTACCTTTACTTGCCAACCAAACTAAATCTATTCACTCTTGGGCAATTAAAAATGAGTGCTCCATATACAAACCATCCACAAACACAATCCTGGTTTAAGAGACAAGGCAGCATACACTATATATTTACCAGCTCAGCTAATATTCCAAATTAAGACTGTAGAGCATAAAAATGTACAGGCAAATGGCGGACTCTATAACTGACAAAACCACACATCAAAAAAGATATCTCCAGGCCAACTTGAATAGGTGAAATTGGTGTTCTATTTACAGTGTAAGAGAGGACCATGTGGATAACAAAAAAACAAAAACAGACAGATTTCAAATCTTGATAACTTCAACAAACTAATGCTTGGTTAACAATATTATTATGCTTGAAATTTTGAATGAATTAAATGATTTCTTGCTACAAATGGACAGGAGAGGTGCTTTAGATTACACTAACTTACTAATTACGAAATGAACGTGAAAGCTCTCTTTGCTAGAAAACAATTGATTTACAAAAACAATTCCTGGTATTTGAAAAAAAAAAGAAGCATGTCCACACACACACAGAGAGATTGGAAACAGCCAAAAAGATTATAAAAATGTTTAAATTAGTGGAGAACAATCTTTACTCTAATTTTTTACGAAATTAAAAACTTGAAAGCTTTTAAATGAACTTTATATAAAGGGACTATATAACACTCCTTGTTGGCAGAGATAGCATGTAAAATAGATACAATATTACCATGAACATTAAAAGTTGTATTCTCAAAAACAGAGCAAATGGTAAACCAATTAGATGCTGCTTTCATTTTGTTGCGTAATGATAACAATATCCTGTTAGAACAGAGAGGACAATCACAAAGATATTTTACCAGAAAATTTCTTTCAACACAGTGAGGTACAAAAAGGGAATGGATATTTTTAGGCACAACGAGATTGAAGATTGCAACAACGAACGATAATTAACCAATTGATCTTGTATTACTAAATGCCTGCTAAGACAGAAAAGACAAAAACACAGATATTTTACCAAAAAACTCTTTGACTATCAGTTGTGGTGCTAGAAAACATTTTAATGGTGAGCTCAAAGTTTTTTTTAGTCCAGAAAGATATGCTAGAAAAATGCAGTTTTTCAAAAATGGTGTTAACTCACTAAAGAATTAATTTAAAAAATATCTTGGATTCCAGTTTTGATGGCTAATATGCAAAAGCAGAGATCCATTATGGGAAATCAAAATTTTAGATGACAGTACATGTTAGAGATTGGAAAAGGAAACAATGTGGATTAGTTATATTTTACTTTCGACCAGTGACAATGGGAACTGTGAGTATAAGCTGATATTGCTGTAGGGGAAGGGAGGTGCATTTAAAATGAGTGAAAGATAGAAGGAAGAAAGAGGTGGTGGTGGCATGATAGACATAAAGACCAAATTGACCATTTCTAGCAACACTTTAGCTATTAGACAGCTTGAAGAAAAAAGTAGAGAGATGGCATGTGGATAAGTAAAAAATCATATTATAAATACGACCTACTGTACATGTACATAGTAATGCAAATACTTAATTATTTATTATTAAAAACATGTAATTACAATTATAATGTAGCTACAATATTACTAAAAGCTTTAGCAGTTTTAAAGTCCAAAAAGAGGATTTTCTTAATTCTTTCTTCTTACGTTGTCTTTATTTACTTTATTTATTGTAAAAAATAACACAAAAAATGACAAAGCAACAAAAAAACCTAATCCTATTTTTATTTAAAAATTAAAACAAGAAAACCAGCCAAAATAATAAGTTTATTTTATTTAAAAAAAGGCAAAATCCATCATTTATACAGTCTAACCTTACAAAAGTTTATTACTTTAATTTTCTCTTTTACTTCTCTTTACTTTAATATATGAAAAAAATTCTTGTCTTCATTTTACTACAAAACGCTCTTACATTTTACAAGACCATTACATGTACGTGCATGTATAAAGCATTCTTCCTGCCATTACCACTAACCAAAACCAAATTACACAAAAAGACATTCTCCTTTTCTTTCCATCCATTTCTTTTGCCTGAAATACACTAACACACAATGGATTAGCCATTAGACCTTATTCCCTTGACACATGATTAGAAGAAAATTAAGCTACCAAAGGTGCTTCTTGATCTTTGGAAAAAAAACGAAACAAGCAAGCAAGAAAATAGAAGTCTTAGAGAAGGAAAATACAATCAATATAATGAGAGAAATGTTAAGATGTGATACAGTTAAGGGAAGGAGGGCTGAGAGTACATACTCTTAAATTATAACCAATGAATGAGGCACACTTGACAGCTCACATAGACTAAACACTCTCCTTAGCATTACAGAAATACTTATGCTCCATCTCCTTGGCACTTTATCAAACATTACAAACATTAATGCTCCTATAGTAGTACATGATAAAGATAACAAGTTCCTCATAAACCATTGAACAACTTACATTATACATTAAGGATGTGGGCGAGTGGGTATAGGTAACATTGGGTGAGGTATTAAAACACACGTACTGCTACTTTATTCCCTTTACTTGTAAACACGTACTCCGATGCTAATTTCAATGATCTCACGTGACCTTGATCCAGCTTTATCATATTGGGTGACTGTGGCATATTGCGATCCATTATTGGCAATGCAGAGAGAATGATAATGTAGAGTGATAAGGACATAATGTAACGTGTGGAGAGAGAAGACAGTATGATTAATAGGATCCTTACAGGCAGTCTTTAACATTAAGCTTTTAAACTACATAGACTGATACTACAGATGCACGTAATACTGATATCATAGGCTCCGATTCCTTTGCACTTTATCAAACATTACAAATATTAATGCTCCTATAGAATTGGGGGGAGAGTACACAATAAAGACGACAAGTTCCTGATAAACCAAATAAGAACTTACTAATACATTAAAGATGTAGGTGATATTATAAGTAGGTAATATTGGGTAGGGTATAGACCAAACACACACTGCTACTGTAGATATATTTACTGGTAGATTAAACATACTCTTTACTGGTAGATACTTATACTGCTACTATTATGCATTTCACTGCGACTTGCTCCAACTTGAATTGAGTGGCTATGGCACGGCGATCCATTAATGTGCAGAATGATAAGTGATGTGTAGGGAGAGAAGACATTATGATTAATAATAAGACTCTCTGAGGCAATCAGCTTTAATTAGAGGCTTTAAAGTACTTTAATACTATTATGCTCCAAATCCTTAATGACACTCAAACAGCAATCCAAACCAATAAGTCTCACTTGAACGTAATTGCTCCATTTTTATAAACAAATCGTGGGTGATCGTGGTATTCTGAAATCTATCATACGATTATTCGCAATGGTGACTGGTAATGGGTATGACATGGTGTGTAAAAGAAGAAGAGACATGTATTATGATTAATTATGAAATCTCACGGGTATTCTGAGGCTTTTAAAGTAGCCATAGGTGAATTAATACAGATCTTTTCCTATAGTATTGATGAGTATCCTAAACTGGCTATAACATATACCACAAGTATAGAAGAGTCAACAAGTAGGAGAGGGGGCATAGAGACCATATGAAATAGTGAGAGATGCTTACACACTCCAGTAACAACACAGCTTGACATTATATTGACATGAAAGGGTGTATGATGACATATTGTAGGCTCCAACAGCTTATAGTGGTGTTTGTGTGGGGAGAATATGAGACTGGAACAATAAATGAGAAAAAGAGAGAGCAGACATGCGTAGATTAATAATAGTGATGCTTACAAACTTGAATGACTTATACACTGAACTCCAAAAAAATTAATAAAAAAATAGCAGATACTTTATGAACCATTAGGTAGCTAGGCTTTATCTTCCATTAAAATAGATGCATGACTTTACTTTAGATATATCCTACATGTAAAGCAGGGCAGTAACAGGTAGAGGGGGCTTTGTATAATAGACATAATGAACATCTTAAATGATACATGTAACTAACAAACACTCCTTTTCCTTTAACTTTTTGCTATTACAGGGCAACATGTAATGAGAGGGCACAGAACAAGGCTTCATAACAAAGCATGGTGTGATTATTATCAATGCTGGGAGACCCATTACAGGTATAAGTAGGTGGCTTTACTAATGGGGAGAATAGGAGAGACTTCACATGTAGACACAATTGCATGAGAACATCAGGAGGCATCATAAAAGAGAGAGAGAGAGAGAAAACCTTTTATCACTAGTGGAACAGACAAGAAGAGACTTCACACACAAATGAGCACACGTAATTAAAAAAACTGGAAACATTATGTAAGGGCAGCAAACCAGGGGGAGAGAGAAGCTTCACACAGGAAAACAATAGAGGAGGCATCAGAAGAGAGAGAGAGAGCTTTATCACTTTACTTTCACACAGACACAGGAGAGAGAGGGGGAACTTGCAATTAAAATCATTACAGGCCAAATCATTAATAGGTAATAAAACAGATAGAAAGTGAACTCTTTTATCCTGTAGTACAGTTATTCTAAAAGCCAGGTATAATCAGATATGGAGATGTATATAGTAGGAGAGAACAGACATACATGATTAAAAACAATGCTTACAGACTCCAGAGATAATTATAGTAGTATTAAAATAATGCTGCAGTAATTCCCATCCAAAATTAAAACAAAACTTGAAGAGTTATTGAAATTATAATGGAAGATTGCAGTGAACAGTACATGTAGGAATAGGCCAGGTACTTTATATCCTTCCACAAGGTAGACAGTTAACAGGTTTTAATTGATACTAACTAATGTAGGGTTAGGTAAATTCCTAGAGTGATGCAATATGGAACACAAAAATTGGGACATACACAATAATGATGCAATAATGAGATAAGACCTGTGATTACTGTGATGCAATAAGAAGAAATACTGAGAAGAGATGTTGCATAATCTATGGTGCAATGAAAGATAGAGACAGGTGGCGGTGGGTAAAGGTGCAGGTGGCAGAGGTTGACACAGAACAAGAGGAAGAGAGGATAAAAGAAATCATAAGAGTGATGGGAAAACTGGAAAGAGATAGACAGGTGGTGGTGGCATTAACATAAACAAAACATGAGACAAGACAGGGACATGACAAAACACCAGAGATAAAATAACCAGCTAAGATAAACAGGTAAGAGGGAGAGAGAGGGAGGGGACCAGGTAAGATAAACAGCTCAGAGAGAGGGGAAGGAACCAGGTAAGATAAACAGCTAAGAGAAAGGGGAGGGGAGAGATATCACAAACAGATAATAAAAGGAAGACAAAATAATTATGTATACTGTAATCCTATAAGCACTACTGTTGGGAAAAGATTATTAGATTTTAGAAAGAGGGATAGGAAAACACTGGGTGGATAAGTCAGTCAAAACATATACCTTACAGATGATGAGTATAAACATACCATAAAGAGAAGGGAATGGATCCCAAAGCAAGTAAAGACAACAGATGACATAGAAGTGAAGGAAGTGGTTTGAGCTTAAGTCACATAACATTACAGGGCGAGTAGTACCAAGAAAGGAAGAATAGAATAAACTACCTATTTTTACCAATGACTATGTAACCAATGATGAAATCTCCTCTAGAACTTCTTCTTGGTTGCAATAGCTTCTTTCAATCAACCTATTGTCCATCGTGTGTGCATGTACATGTGCGTCGGCGTCGTGGGTGCATGTACAGTACATGTATTACTAACTGACCTGTATTCCAGGCATGTAGTAAGGCGGATACATCTGCATTTGTCCTTGAGGTATCCCACGGGCAATCCTCTGCATCCTCTGAGCAGCAAGGTGAGCCTGCCTCTCTTCCTTACGCTGGGCCAGTGCCACGTAGAGTGGTTTCGAGACTACAATGCGTCCGTTCATCTCTGTTACTGCTTTAGTGGCTTCCTCAGGAGACGAGAAACAAACAAAACCAAAACCTTTGCTGTGTCCAAATTCATCAGTCATTATCTATTATGAGAGAGAGAAAATAAAATCAATTAATTTACAATTATCTTTCCCAGTACCTTTGCACTAGTGATACTGCCAAACTTGCTAAATTCACTTTTGAGCTTTTCTTCGCCAAGAGTATCTTCCAGGTTTTTAATATACAAGTTGACTCCTTGATAGCGCGAGAGTCTCTCCTGCCTTTGCTCTTCCTTACGACGCATCAGCTCGCGTGATCTCTCATTCTTCTTCTGAGCTCTACCACAATAAACCTGTCTCCCGTTAACAATAGAATTATGAACTGCTTGTACAGCCTGTTAGAAAGAGAGGAAAAGCAATTAAAACATGTCAATGTACATGTACATGCTAGTAATGAGAATGAAAAGTACATGTAGGTGCTTTGTACATGATGTTGGACATAAACTTACAGCTGAGGCTGCCTCGTGTGATTCAAAGCTCACAAATCCAAAGCCTTTAGAGAGACCTTCACCATCCTTCATCACAACAGCAGAGACGATGCTACCATACTTCTCAAAGACATCGTACAGCATCGTATCAGTAAAGTCCTCTCCAAAATTCTTAATAAAGACATTGGTGTAGTGCTGGTTGAAACCATTAGTATGAGATCTGTCCTTCCTTGGTATAAACTTGCCAACATAACTATAAAGAGAGAAAGAGAGACAGTGTTAAAGTGTTGAGGTATTAGCACCAGTGGAGTCCACTATGGCTGCCTTACACTTTCATATCATTGAGTAACTTTCCATTGACTTTCTCAATGGCAAGGTCAGCTGCCTCCTGCTCATCAAAATGAACAAAACCAAAGCCTTTGGAGTGCCTGTTGCCATCAGTTGCCACCTACATAATGATAAAGAGAGTGAGGGGGAGAGAGGGAGATGATAAGAGGGAATGGCCTTGGGATAATCGCTCAGAAGTTGAATTGATAAAGACGCACAAATGGCTGGCCTTATATACACTTATGCCAGTCAAACCGGTTAAAACCGGTTTGACTGTTTACGTACAGTGTTATCAAAGTGTCTATAGCAACAGAAGCCAAACAAGGTGCTAATGAATAGGCAGACATAACCGGTCATAACCAGTCATAACCGGATTTGGAACTGACAAACAGGATAATGAATATCATTAGAATATTCGTATGATGTACAGAATATTCCGTATGATGTAATAGTGACATCTGCTAGGATGATGTCATGATGATGTAAGGTACAATTAATTACAATTACAAGTACACACATCATACCTTGCATGAAAGAATGTTCCCAAAGGCACTAAAAGTGTCATACAGAGCTTTGTGGTCAATGGACTTGTCCAAATTCTTAATGAAAATGTTTCCGACTCCGGAGCGACGGAGGGAGGGATCACGCTGGGACCACATGATACGACAAGGCTGTCCCTTGATTGGCTCGTAGTTCATAGTATCCAATGCTCTTTCAGCTAACGAAAAAAAGAGGATTAAGCTATACGTAAATTTTCTAAATCTCACCATCTGCTGGCTGCTGGAAGTTGACATAAGCGTATCCCAACGATCGCTTTGTGATGAGATCACGACAAACACGAATGGAGAGCACAGGACCAGCTTTACTAAACTGTTCAAAAAGAACGGCTTCATTGACATCAGGGAGAAGATCACCGACATAAAGAGACTGAAGTGGTGGAAAACTAGGCGGGGGGTTCATATTAACTGCCATTGCTAATTGTGTGCTAAAAATAAAGAGAGAGAAATAAATATTATTAATAGGTTATTATATTTCTGGACTTACTTTTTTGATTAAATTTCTTCCTAGATCGATACCTGATAAACAAAATACAATAAGACAGACAAGAAAACTTTTTGTGTCGAGTTTGGCTGTTTGCGGTTTTTTGTTCCTTTTGGGTTTTAGACTTTTTTTGGTAGTTTTTGGAAGATTTGTTTTTTTTTCTCTAAGTTACAATACACACACTGACAAACTAAAAAGGGCCTAAGGGGAGACTAACTACAAGCCTTCCCGAGACAAGGGAGAACAAAAGAGTCCTTCTTGTCTGAAAAGGGACGACTTGGCAGCTGTGAGCGTCGTCATGACGTTTAAGCTTTTTATAAGAGTGAATCACGTGATAGATCACACGATTTGTCACATGACCCATTGCGCAATAGCCAACTCCCACTCAAATACCGTTACATTTCTAGATCTAATTGTTCGGCCATTTCAATTTTCAATATTACTTACAAAATGGCGACTGCTAGTACTTCTGAGTTGAAGGATACTCTTGCTCAATATGAGGCACAGTACGACCAGGTAGACCTTTCTCACAGAAGCATTGCTTCATTTATTATGTTTTTATGTCCTCAGGTAGAAGCAGCTTTGACAAACGAGCCAGATAATGAGGAACTTTTGAAACTGAAATCAGATCTCACTGTATGTTAGCACCATTTTAAACAGATGCATTAATTTAATACTATTTTTAGGATGTCATAACGTTAACAAAGGATCTCATTGAGCTAGCACCTCAGGTAATTTGCAGCGTCGACAAAATTTATGTACTTTTAAATGCTTGCTAATCTTCAGCCTCATATAAGATGAATTCACAGCTTTGTAATATGTGTGCATTGGAAATGACATACATTTTAATTGTTTAAATAATTTCTAAATAGTAGCGTGCTAAGTTCTGTCTTTGATCAGCTATTCTTAATTTTATTACTTCTTTATTAATCTTTTGTACTACTTGCTCTATAGAAAAAGAAGAAAACATCCACTGAATGGAAGCAAGGCGACTCTTGCAAAGCTCTCTGGAGCAAGAATGGAAAGTATGTCCGCATCATTTGATGATATTATATCGTAAATTCTAGACACTTTAATGCAGTAATTGACATGATATCTGAGGATGGACAGACGTGTACGGTTACTTTCGATGGCTATGGAACAACAGAGATTACTCGTATCACTGACTTAATGCCTAGAGACTGGGAGGCACCAATGATACCAGTGGAAAGAGAAAGAGCAAAAACTTCAAGGTAATGAGTACATACTGTATTTCTTGCATACTAGAGTGAGTAGAGTCTTTTTGGTATATTAAAGAGAGAGTTCCATACCTTAGACATTTTATTGTTTACTTTTTAGACAAAAGAAGAACGATCTTAGAGAGATAAAGAAAAAGAAAAACGAGAAAAAGAAAGCAAGAATGCAAATCATCGATCAGCACAGAGAAGGTGAGAAGCAAAAATGGAAAAACTTCTCTGCCAAAGTAACTCCTTTTATACCACTGTGCCCTCCATTGATGTGTACATTGTTTGCATAGTCAATGAAGTCTAAAAGTGGGCCACTTAGTGGTAAGATTAAGAAGAGTATATTTGCAGTTCCAGACTCTACAGAAGGAAGGGTATGGTAATGGATGGTTTTATTCCTTTTTTTACATTGTTATTATTATTATTATAGGTCGGTATTGGTACTTGTAATATAGGAGGAAAGGGAATGACTGATTATGCACAACCTAAAAGTTATCTCCATTGATCAATAGATACTGTATATGCACACACAGCACTATTCTCATTAAAAATTAAATTATGAATAAGTATACGGAAAGATTACTAGTTATAGCTGTTAATTATTAATTTTGCTCACGTGAGTGTTTCCACGACAACGACAAACAGAAAGGGGAGAGAACACAAGGGAGAGACAAGATGAGTATGATCGTACCTACAGAGACTCTTGTCAAGTATGACAACCCGACACTAGTCAGCAAGAACACTGACAAGAGAACAAAGGTAAAAAGTGAACCAATTCAATGTTACCATGAGAAATTAGCCAAATAACCAACTGCAGTTGTATTATTATAGTCCAAAAGTACTCTCAAAATAAGCAATGAAAGATTAAAAAATTCTTCAATCTATAACAAATTAGCATCGTGATGTTCAGTGGTGCTTCAGACTCCCGGCATAACTGACTATTTTTCCATTTCCCTAGCCCAAAACTCCAAAGACAGACAATAAGCAAGCAGGTACAATTGCAGTGACAGGAAGTGGTGGGCCTCTCCCTGGGCTGCCTAAGAACAAACTCACGCCAGTCGAAGCACAAAAAAACCAGCAAACTGAAGAGATACTGAACTCAATACTGCCTCCTAGAGAATGGTCTGAAGAAGGACAGCTATGGAAGCAATGTGTTTCAAGCACACCAGCAACTCGCCTTGACGTCATAAATCTACAGGTATATATATAAAGGCATATTGCATGTGTAAATCTGAAGGTACATTGTATATACATGTACATGCATGCACAAAGGCAAGAATTCAGATATTTTATTGTATTTTATGTGCAGGAGCAACTGGATACAAAGCTTCAGCAAAGGCAGGCCAGAGAGACAGGGATCTGTCCGGTGAGGAGAGAACTATACTCACAATGCTTTGGTAAAGGATATTGCATTTTTTGCTTTTACTCCATCCTTAATGCCGATTCTTTGTTCACAATAGACGAGTTGATTCGCCAAGTTACTATAAATTGCTCAGAAAGAGGCACATTACTGCTAAGGTAAGGAAGAGAATCATTTGTAGATGTAGTCATTTGTCTTTTTTCATTGCAGAGTCAGAGATGAGATAAGAATGACAATTGCGGCCTACCAGACACTCTATGAGAGCAGGTAAGAGACTCACCTGTTCATCTTTCAGTTTAAGATATTACTCTTTATGACTGTAGTGTTGCTTTTGGTGTAAGGAAAGCATTAATGTCTGAGCAAGGCAAAGGAGATATGGAGGAGCGAATTGAGAAACTGAGTGAAGAAAAACGAGACTTGGAACAGCAAGTGAGTAATGGTTAAAAGTATAGTGTTAACTGAATAATGCATTTAATATCCTAATTCATCATCACTTTAAAGGTACTTGAATTAAAGAACAAGTGTGACGCTATCGAAAAGCGTGAGAATGAGAATAGGAAACTAGAAGAGAAAAAACACCAAGAAGAAATACAGGCACTCAAAAAAACAAATACTCAATTACAAGTGAGACATTGCAATGATCGTATAAAATCATTCATATTTTCTTTTCTTTTCTTTTTTTAGGCTCAACTAGAAGGAATCATAGCACCACAAAAGAAATAGAAAAAAACAACAACATACACTTTAACACTATGATAAAACTCTATTATTCTGAATGTATAATACATGAACAATGTACTTTTAACATGTATTGTATAAACATTATGTATACAGAGATGATGAACTAACACAGTATCGTAATGAACAACTACAAATGTATTCTTAAAGCTCATCTTTGCAACTATCATGAACTATGATCTTTGTATCATTGCATGGGCGCGGTTGTTTTTGCATGCACACCATGTCTGTACCTCCAAGATGGCGTCACTGCCCAAGAAAAGGAAAAGTGATTGCTGGTAAGAAACTAATCACTCATAAGGATGAGTTGATCACTTGGATGTATCTTTAGGTAAATTCTTTCCATTTAAGACCCCGCTAAGCTCTGAATATGACAAGGATCTCGCAGAAGGGAACCGATTCCCTCTTTCCATGCTCATCGCCTTCACTGAGTGTATTCCTGGGCACCGTATGGGTCTAGTTATTGACCTAACAAAGACCAGTCGTTATTATGACAAAAGGGAACTGCTTAAATGTGGTATTGGGCATCATAAAATCACTTGTGAAGGGTAGGCGAGGGCCGGTTTAAGGGGGTTTTATATTACAACTCTCTAGCTGTATACATTGAATGAATTTTTATAATTTTTTTCAATACTTAGAATCACTCATGATCATTACTTTCATATGCTCCATTAGTTTGTTGTTTTAAACAGTTATTCTTTTTGTAACACTGCCTGCAGAGTTTGCAAGTTGTTAAAGCAAGTTCTGTAATACCTTTTTCCTTAGTTATGGAGCAGCCCCTAATGCAGAGCAAGTTAAAGAATTCCAAACACTTTGTGTTAACTTTTTTAAGGATCATCCAGATGATATAATCGGTAATGAAGGAAATGTATGAATTTAAACATGGCCTCCTCTCTCTCTCCTCTCTCTAAACAGGTGTTCATTGTACTCATGGTTTCAATAGAACCGGCTTCCTGATAGTCTCCTATCTAATTGACGTTGAATGCTGGGAGTAAGGATTATATCTACCAAAAATACTTTAATATTATGCTGCTTTGATTCAATGCACACACACACACAATAGCTTAGAATCTGCTGTTGCAACATTCAGTATGGTAAGTACTAACGTATTGTACCTACACGTATGTTAATGTTTTTATTTGCAGGCCAGACCACCTGGTATATATAAAGAGCATTATCTACATGAGTTAGCCGGACGATATGCTGACGGTGACATTGGTAGTATTGTTGCTCCTCCATTACCTGAGTGGTGCTTTGAGGAAGATGAGGTAGACAGTGGAGGAGAAGAAGGAGGAGGAGGAAAAGGAGAGGAAGGACAAGACAGGAAAGGAAAGAAGAGGAAAATAGAACAAAACAATGATGTGAGTTTGGGAAAAGAGTAATATATATGTAACTATTAGAATTACTATTGATGGAGTATTAATGTTATTGTAAGATATGAAATTGTGAGTCTTCTTCGTGCCTATAGAGTGCACAGTTTGCTGTACCTCTTCATGGAGTGGAGTTAGTCCTTGGTTCAACACGAGAGGAAGTACAGATAGCATGTCAGGAAGCATTAGACTGGGAAGAGTGAGTAAACAAACAAACAAACAAATAAATAAAATGTTGTGATGAATCTAGGTCTGGGTTTCCTGGCAGTCAGCCGGTCAGTATGGATGTACAGAACATTAGGTTTTTAAATGAAAAACCATATCGTGTTAGCTGGAAAGCTGATGGAACTAGGTAAATATTACCAATAGTTATATACTATTCTCTCTCCCCCTCTTTCTCTAGATATATGCTTTATATAAAGGACAAAGGTCATATATATTTAATAGATCGGGACAATTCAGTTTTTAATTCACCAAATATTACATTTTTATCACGAAAAAGAGAGGGAGAGCACCTCAGAGACTGTGTAGCTGATTCGGTAATTTCATTATTATACTTACTGTTAGCTCTCCTAATTTTTAAAGTTGCTCTAAAATCGGGCCAAAGTCCCTGTACTATAGTACAGGGTCATCAGCCAAATTTCACCAAAAATGACTAGGAGAGAATTCTTCATTTTTATAATGTTTTCTGATACATATACATGTACTTATGTTGTGTAGAAAGTTTGAGCTGATTCCGATCAAGTTTGGATTTTTTATGAATTTTTAAAGTTGCTCTAAAATCGGGCAAACTCCAAAATATTTTACCAAAAATGACTAGTAAAGAATTCTCCATTTTATACATGCTCTTATGTTATATGACACTTGTAGGAGCTGGTCCTTGATAAAGTGGACGGAGCTGTCCGACCTCGCTTGCTGATATATGACATTATGATGTTTGAAGGCAGTAAAGATGTGGCAAAATGTGACCATCAGAGACGAATGTTATGCATTGACAGAGAATTGATAATGCCAAGAGAAGAAGCTGTGAGTAACGATACCTTAGACCTTAGGTACTGTTCTTTAATTTAGGCAAAAAGAGGTATTATTGATAAAATCAGGGAGCCATTTTCTGTCAGAGCAAAGCAGTTTTGGGATGTCTCAGAATCAAGAATGGTACTTATATACTGATTACTGCTGACTTATGGTTCTATTAAAATTGTATTTTCTTCTTCTCGATAGATCTTAGAGAGTTATGTGCCAAAGCTTACTCATGAAAATGATGGTCTTATTTATAATCCAACAAATCAAGTAAATTTGATTTAATTTGATTTTTGAGTCTGTTTTTTTGCTGTGTACTTGTTTAGCCATATAAACCTGGGCAATGTCAAGATCTATTGAAATGGAAGCCTCCAGAACTGAACACTGTAGACTTTCGCTTGAACATAATCTCAGAGCAGAAAGTTGGGTAATTCAACTATTCATTTACTGTAGCCCCTCAAGTTAATAGTTGAGAGCTCTTTGGGTCCTTTTTATAATTATTAATAATCATAAATTTGTAAATTTTTGTTATTACTTTTATTTAGCATGTTACAAGAGAAGAAAGCTCAATTGCTAGTTGGATCAGGGAGACACACTGTCCTGTTTAGCTACCTGGACCTTCACGTGAATAAAGAGGCCAAAGCGCACAACAATAAGATCATCGAATGTTCCTTCGTTGACAAAAAATGGAAGTTTCTTAGAGTTAGAACTGATAAAAGTTTTCCGAATTCTTTTGAAACAGCACGAAGTAAGTAATATAAGAGTCATAATAAGTATAAAATTGGCCATAATTAAATATAATTGTTAATTTTATTTATTTGTTAATTTCAAGGTGTCTGCATGAGTATAAGTCAACCTGTAACTAAGCAATGGCTACTGGAGGTGTGTGAGAAGTATCGCTGGGGGATTGATAAAGGAAGAGCCAACAAACACCCACTGGAAGAACCTCATGGAAGCATGTTACCACCGACCAAAGCACCGAGACACACTGCCACTCAAGCATAACCTGACCCACTACCTGCCATTCAGAACATAAATTCACTGTATATTATTATTATTATTATTATTATTATTATTATTATTATTATTATAAAAAGTAATTTTTAAAGGTAATGTACTCGATATGGCAGAGGATTTTCTCACATGAACAACCTCTATGTATAACCTTGAGCTCAGCTTTTGGTGCACCTAATGCAATGGTTGATTAAAATTCAGTATTATGAGCTGCAAGTGCTGTAAAAACTAATGGTCTGGAATAATAATTACAGCGCATTCGTAACAAAATTATGATAGATAGATAGATCTATCAGCACATTCCACATTCTGTCGATCAATCATATAGCATCAGGCAATGAGTGGACAAAGTTATACAAGAAGATCTACTTGGCCTCTATTGGATCCAAGCCATAGCATCATAGATGGCATGATGATTAACCCCAGCCGCCGACGCAGCGTACACACCCAATCTATCCCTCGAAGCTGGCGTCACTGCCCAAAAGAAGGATCACTGATTGCTAGTAAGAGCATAGATACTACCATAGATTTATGTGATGCTACACACACCAAGTAGTGGAATGAAAGACAACTAAGCTTAATGACTTGTATTATTTTTTAATAGACAAATTTCTTCCATTTAAAACACCGCTGAGCTCTCAGTATGACAAGGATTTGTCAGAAAAGGAGCGCTTCCCACCTTCAGTCCTCACCTCCTACAGGGATACATATCGTATAGGTTTGGTTATTGATCTAACAAATACTAGCCGTTATTATGACAAGAGGGAACTACTTCAATGTGGTATCAGGCATCATAAAATCACTTGTGAAGGGTAGTCTATTTTGGGGGGGGGGGAGGTTTGTTGCATTAATGTTACAGTGTTTATACTCTAATAGCTTCCTGCTCCATTGGTATGCTGTTAACTAAAGTAGAGTTTAAAGTTTCTTGTTTATTACCTAGTTTACTAATCCTAAAAACAAAGTTAAAGTGCTCATGCATACTAAACTCTAACCCACTGCCTGCTTGTTATGACATGCAGTTAGTTGTATTATTGATTTCCAGACATAATGTAGCTCCTGATGTAGAGAAAGTTAAAGAATTTCAAATGGTCTGTGGTGAATTTTTTAAGGATCATCCATATGGTGTAGTTGGTAAGAAATGAATTATTTACAATATTCTTTTTGTTATTCTTTCTAAATAGGTGTTCATTGTACTCATGGCTTTAATAGAACTGGTTTCCTGATAGTCTCATATCTCATTGATGTTGAATGCTGGGAGTAAGGAATATATCTATAAAAAATACTTTATTATTATACATTATATATAATAGCTTAGAAGCTGCTGTTGCAACATTCAGTGTGGTAAGTAGATCTACTAATGTATTGTAGATACATGTATGTTAATGTTTTTATTTGCAGGCCAGACCACCTGGTATATATAAAGAGCATTATTTACATGAACTAGCCGGACGATATGCTGATGGTGACATTGGTAGTATCATCACTCCTCCATTACCTGATTGGTGTGATGATGTGGAAAGAGAGAAAGAAAAGGTAAGAAGAGGAATGTGGACATAGAATCTAAAATAAATCTTTATAGAGTGCACAATTTGCTGTACCTCTTCATGGAGTGGAGTTAGTGCTTGGCCCAACAAGAGAAGAAGTACAGATAGCATGTCAGGAAGCATTAGACTGGGAAGAGTGAGTAAATAAATAAACAAACAAACAAATAAATAAAATGATGTGATAAATATCTAGGTCTGGGTTTCCTGGCAGTCAGCCGGTCAGTATGGATGTACAGAACATTAGGTTTTTAAATGAAAAACCATATCGTGTTAGCTGGAAAGCTGATGGAACTAGGTAAATATTACCAATAGTTATATACTATTCTTTCTCCCCCTCTTTCTCTAGATATATGCTTTATATAAAGGGCAAAGGTCAAATATATTTAATAGATCGGGACAATTCAGTTTTTAATTCACCAAATATTACATTTTTATCACGAAAAAGAGAGGGAGAGCACCTCAGAGACTGTGTGGCTGATTCGGTAATTTCATTACATCAGTTACTGTTAGCTCTCCTAATGCATGCTGTTGCAAAACATGGACAGTTTATAGTCAATAACCATTTACTATTGTAGCTATCTTTTTGCCGAATGGCCTATATAACATGCAGTGTGAAAAGTTTGATATATTTCTAAGCCTCCAATTATATGACACTTGTAGGAGTTGGTCCTTGATAAAGTGGACGGAGCTGTCCGACCTCGCTTGCTGATATATGACATTATGATGTTTGAAGGAAGTAAAGATGTGGCAAGATGTGACCATCAGAGACGAATGTTGTGCATTGACAGAGAATTGATAATGCCAAGAGAAGAAGCTGTGAGTAATGATATCTTACACCTTATGTACTGTTTCTTTATTTTAGGCAAAAAGAGGTATTATTGATAAAATCAGGGAGCCATTTTCTGTCAGAGCAAAGCAGTTTTGGGATGTCTCAGAATCAAGAATGGTACGTACTGATTACTGCTGACTTTTGGTCTTATTAAAATTGTATTTTCTTCTCAACGCATGTAGATCTTAGAGAAATATGCACCAACACTTACTCATGAAAATGATGGTCTTATTTATAACCCAACAAATGAAGTAAATTTAATGCTATTTGTACCTTCCATGTGGTTTGGTTGGAAAAGGATTAAATTAAAACTTAAATAAATTGTACATTTTTTTGTTGAAGCGACAAATTTGTTGGTGCCACATTGTGATATGTACTCATTTATAGCCATATAAACCTGGACAGTGTAAAGATCTACTGATATGGAAGCCTCCAAAGGTCAACTTTCACTTAAATATAATAACAGAGAAAAAATTTGGGTAATTCATTTGTTTATTTATTGATTTGTTTTAACATTAAAACATTCTTCACTACTGTTTGGTTTAATCACTTGTAAAATTTTCAATTAATGTGTGCACACATTTACATCCAAGTGTACACTATTTTTATTTCTATTATTTTATTTAGTATGTTGGAAGAGAAGAAAGCACAATTGCTAGTTGGATCAGAGAGATGTGAAAAGATTTTTAGTTATTTGGATCTTCAAGTGAATAAAGATGCCAAAAAGCACAGCAAGAAAATCATTGAGTGCTCCTTTGTTAATAATAAGTGGAAGTTTCTTAGAGTCAGAACAGATAAAGGTTTTCCAGATTCTATTGAAACAGCAAAAAGTAAGTATATAGGAGTCATGATAATATTGGTCATTATGTATATACTTCCAAAAGTACTTTAAAGGAAAGTATTACCAAGATAAAAAGTTTAAAAACCCATTATCATATTAGGTATTTGCATTGACTCAGTAAATGAAGACAAGCTACTTGAGGTGTGTGAGAAGCATCGCCGGGGGATTGATAAAGGAAGAGCCAACAAACATGCACTGGAAGAACCTAATGGAAGCATGTTACCACCAAGCAAAGCACGAAGACATGCTTCGACGTCCACTTGAACTTTTTCATTTAAAAAACGTTACATTGTTATGAATACTACAGAATAGAAAATACTGATAAGCCTAACTTACAAAAATTGTTCAATGTCCAATTCTCCTGCCCCATTCCAAAATATATTGTACTGTGCTTTCATACACATAGCTAACGACAAAAACCAAGTCCCAAGAGTCCCTAAACCACTCTATTTCCTTATGGACTGCACTGGAGTTGAGGCCCCAGCGTATCCAATAAGCATCAGACCTCTGCCCTGCCACTTTGCTCTCCAGTATGACTGAAAAGCGAGCTCCTTGAGCAGGACTGTCAGCACCATGATGATAAGTACTGACATGTTTAGCATAATAATCCTGATATAGGAAACTAATGGTGACTGAGGTGAATTCAGGATACAGAAAGCCATAATAGCTCTCTTTATCGGTGATTGGTACGTCTCTCAATGGTACATTGTATACCCTCCTGAGGTCTCTGTGGTAGACTGCAGAGACTCTCGTCTCATTAGTACCTCCAAATACCATAAAGTGCTGACTCATCAGTTCCCATCCTTTTTTCTCCATGTTAACTCTCGACATTACGTGGGCGGGGATGGTCACGTCCCAGTAGGCGTGGCTTTCAATGACACTAGGGTGCTTACGGAACACAACGCTATAAAGAGGTGTGGCCCCACTCAATCGTCCAACGATTGAGTAAGGGATTAGAGCTTTGCTAGAAATTTGATCTCGCAGGGTCTGGTTCAGTTCATGGGACTGTAGTTCTACGAACCCTTGTGAGGGGGTCTGAGTACTATTATGAAACAATACTGTGTAATACCATTGGGAGTCATCAGGTGATATTACGGTACTGACTGATAGAATATCAAATGAATTCCTTTTCATTTCTTTTACGAGCGACTTTATCCTTGAGGTAGAGACCTTTGTGAAGGTGCGAGTGGTTGCCAGCGGCAACGAGGTGTGAGGGAGAGGGGTCAACTCCCCACCATCAATGACTACAAAATGAAATGAATAAAAAATAAAAATATTTTAAAATTATTATAAAAGTTAAAAATAATTATACTATTATGAATAATGAATTGCTACCCTGCAGAGGTGTCCCTATGTAATATTTGGTGAACTTTAGTCTAAAGCCACGCCCAGTTATTGAGTCATCAGTGACCAATCGAATGGTTAGGTTTCTGTTAGACGTCCTGTAATGAATTCCACTTTGAGTACCTAATGGTAAAAACTGATTTTAGCAGCTGGGATGAAGCTGAAAACTCTTAAAGTAATTTTATTAGAAATTATCATGCTATCATTTTTGGTAAAATTTGGCCAATGACCCTGTACTATAGTACAGGGAATTTGGCTCAATTTTCAAGCAACTTTAAAAATTCTTTAAAAATCCAAACTTGATTGGAATCAGGTCAAACTTTCTACACAACACAAGTATGTATATGCATCAGAAAAAATATAAAAATGGAAAATTCTCTCCTTTAATTTTTGGTAAAATTTGGCTGATGACCCTGATTTTCTCCAGCAAATTTCTCAGGAAAAAAAATTAATTAATAACTTTTTCCCAGAAAATTTGCCAGAAAGAATAAATTTTCCCGCCAAATTTCCCAGGGAAAAAATTAATAATAATCCCCCCCCCAAAAAAATTTTTCCCACGAAATTTCCCAGAAAAAATTTAATTAATAATTTTTTTTAGCAAATTTCCCGGAGAAAAATAAATTTTACGGCCAAATTTCCCAGGAAAAAAATAAATAATAATTTCCCAAAAACATTTCCTGGCAAATTTTCCAGGAAACAATATTTTTCTGCAAAATTTCCCGGAAAAAAATTAATTAATAATTTTGTCCTAAAAAATAATTTTTTCCGGCAAATTTCCCGGGAAAAATAATAGTCCAGTACAGGGACTTTTATCTGTTTTGGAGCAACTTAAAAAACTTGTAAAAAATCCAAACTTGATCGGAATCAGCTCAAACTTTCTATGCAACATAAGAACATGTATATGTATCAGAAAATGTAATAAAAATTGAGAATTCTCTTCTAGTCATTTTTGGTGAAATTTGGCCGATGACCCTGTACTATAGTACAGGGACTTTGGCCCGATTTTGGAGCAATTTTAAAAATTCGTAAAAAATCCAAACTTGATCGGAATCAGCTCAAACTTTCTATGCAACATAAGAACATGTATATGTATCAGAAAATGTAATAAAAATTGAGAATTCGCTTCTAGTCATTTTTGGTGAAATTTGGCCGATGACCCTGTACTATAGTACAGGGACTTTGGCCCGATTTTGAAGCAATTTTAAAAATTCGTAAAAAATCCAAACTTGATCGGAATCAGCTCAAACTTTCTACGCAACATAAGTACATGTATATGTATCAAAAAATATAATAAAAGTTGAGAATTCTCTCCTAGTCATTTTTGGTGAAATTTGGCCAATGACCCTGTACTATAGTACAGGGACATTGGCCCGATTTTGGAGTAACTTTAAAAATTCGTAAAAAATCCAAACTTGATCGGAATCAGCTCAAACTTTCTATGCAACATAAGAACATGTATATGTATCAGAAAATGTAATAAAAATTGAGAATTCTCTTCTAGTCATTTTTGGTGAAATTTGGCCGATGACCCTGTACTATAGTACAGGGACTTTGGCCCGATTTTGGAGCAATTTTAAAAATTCGTAAAAAATCCAAACTTGATCAAAATTAGCTCAAACTTTCTACACAACATAAGTACATGTATATGTATCAGAAAATATTATAAAAATAGAGAATTCTCTCTTAATCATTTTTGGTAAAATTTAGCCTTAAAACTCTTATCTCTTTCTTTTGACCTCTCTCTCTCTCTTTCATAGCCTCATACCTGTGTAGCTAGTGCAGTTACCACCTTGACACAGATATAAGTAGTCAAACCCTCTCTCTAGCTCCAGGTCTGATATCAATACGTCCACATCTTCATTATAAGCAGCTGGTATATGCCACTCACATTGGAGTGACGATGGGTAACTATTAGGGTATCCAGGAGATGTCAGATTCAATTGTACACGAAAAGGATAATAGCCACCACACGAACCTAAAGAATTGATAATCAAAAACTAGTTTGTGAGTTAGCAAAATCATTGCTTGCTCTCACATTGTAAGTGATGATAAAATTGAAAAAATTAAGCCACCTAGCTAGCTTATCATTTTAGTCAATTCTGCCGAAACTTCTCCCCCCACAATAAATTCCAGTATTAAAAACAAATTTAGCTAACCTGGCGTATTAAGCAGAAGATTTGGTGCTCCTTGTAATGAACCATTTATGGCTCCTACCCTCCCTCTCTCCCTCAAGAGACTCAAGACTTCGTTGGGTTTTAAAAGTGGTCTCTCCTCTAACATACCTGCAACGACCCCGCCCACAAGAGGAGTGGACATTGACGTCCCAGTGAGCAAAAAACTGCAACCATTCTCTCGTACCTCATCAGGATACTCAATGCTTGAAACCCCGCATTTATAATGAGCGCCTTGTACGCCAACTCCAGGAGCAAATATATCGACACAAAGACCGTAATTAGTATGAGAGTAGAGCTGATTATTTTCGTCAGTTCCTCCAACTGTTATTGCATGAATTGATGAAGCAGGAGAATTTAAACAAGCAGCTTCATCACCATTACCAGCAGCAGCAACAACAACCACACCTGCTTCGGAAAGCTTCTGGACAGCATTGTTCATTGATTGCTGGTAGCTCCCACTAAGAGAGAGGTTAATGATAGATGGTCTTTTTCGAACGGACACCATTTTCATGATGTGATCCAGCCCGTCTAACACAACACTCCATGGTGCTCGGTTTGAACAACCAAGTACACGGACACTGAAGAGTGACACAGATTTAGCTGACCCGAACTTAGCTCCGCCCAAGAGACTAGCAACGTGGGTACCGTGTCCGTTGCAGTCCCAGCCATGTTGATGAAACCGACTGAAAAAGTGTTGGTACTCATCATAAGGATCATAGCCAAGGTACTTTGCTCTCCCTTCAAATTCTTCATGATCAAAATTGATACCTAAAAATGATAATAATTAAAATTATGATTCCTATAAATATTATTATCATGCATACACTTATAGTCATTATTATACTAAAAAATGAAAAATACTAGACCATGGTGCTCCAGAAAAAGTCCTTATGCTATATGAAAAAGTTTAAGCTAATTCTGATCAATAATGTTGCTGCACATTGCTTACCTGAATCAGCAATATAGGCATCAACTCCTTTACCAGTTCTGGTGGGTGAGTACTGGTGGTCAAAGTAAGCAGCAGGGTCCTGATCAAGGAGGTCTAAGTGCCACGGGATAGTTGGGTCTTGAGTACCCACTGCCTCTGTCTCTTCCTCCACTAGTCTTACCTCGGACCAGTTTCGTAACTAAAAGAGAGAGGAACAGAAAGTAGATCATTACAGTACATTTTAATGGTCTCAAGTTTAGCGGTATTTTAACTTCTATAGTTGCAGAATAGTATCAATCCCCATACTTTAACTCATAACAATTAAACAACAAGTCCAAATTAGTATAGTTGTGTAACAAAAAACAACTAACAACTATCTGCATACAGTACATAGATGCAGAAAGCTGTTATAGTTATATTATTATATCTGCTTGTTTCTCTACCTGATGCAGAGCATAAGAATTGAGATCAAGAGTGAAGGCTTTCTCTATAAACCTCACAACCATGTAGGGTCTCTTATCCTGAGAGACTAAGAGGGCCCTTTCCAAAGTTTTATTAAACTCCTGGTCTGAGATATTGCTCTGTAGCAGAACTATATACCTCCCAGTTTTATCAGCAGCTCTCTTAGCTCGGAGAAGAGGACTGAGTCCAGTTTGAGCAAACTGAAAGAAGAGAGAGAAGAAGATGAGAGCATAAACAGCGCCCATGTTTGCACGCCGAGGCATGCTGCGGTGCAACTAGCCACACCTTCTATTCTATTATGCAGCCAGCCACGCCCATAGATCTACGAGCCACACCCCTATATTGAAAGGCAATCATGGATTTGATGGAGAAGGTGAAACGACCTGTTGTAGAGAAAGTCTGTCTTGTTGTTAATCAAGGGGAGGTCATAGAGGGCGCCCTCTGTGTCACTGCATTCCATTTCGTCTTCTCTACTCGAATCAAAGCCCAAGACGAGATTATGGTAAGCCTTTAATCACGTGATCCTCTTATAGGTCCTTCCTCCCACGCAGTTTCTTCACACTAGCATTTTACTACTTGAGAGGCAGAACCCGTCCACCGGTACTCTAATTAATGTCACGCTCAAGGATTTTAGAAGGTTTTCTATCGATTTTCCAGACGTTGAGTCGTGTAACGACGTATTTGAGTCTCTGGAAATGCTATCCCATCCAGGTACATGTACATGCAATAGAACCATCTGATTGGTCAATTCAAACTGTGCATAATAGAATAAATTAATAGTAATAATAATAATAATAATAATAATAATTTAACTTGTTTTTCTTCTTTTAGGTCGTATCGATAAATTGCATCCATTTTTCTTTCGTCCTCGCATCCCTCCTTCAGACATTCCTCCATTTTCTCCGGAAAACATGACATCGCTTTTCACACGATACAAGTGCCCGCCCGACGACTGGAGGGTCAGCGACTGTAACCGTGGTTACAAGGTAAAACATATATTCCATTAAAGCAATCTTTTTTTGTTATCTTTCTTTAATTGCATTGTGTATGTAGTTATGCTCATCACATCCAGAGGAAGTCATAATTCCTGCTAAAATCAATGATCAGGAGATTGGAGCCGTAGCCTCTTTCAGACAGCATGGAAAGTTCCCCATTCTCTCTTACTACAACTCAAAGCAAAGGGTTAGGATTTTAATATTTATGTTTTAGTAATACATATAGAGGAGATAGTAATGATAATTATTATGATAGTTTGGTTTTTAATTTCAGTGATAATCATCATCATCATCATTATTATTATAAATTTACTGGTTTCTTTTGTTGTTGACAATGTTTTATTATTATAAACAGTCTTAATTTTATTATTAATCGACGTAAACTTTTTACTTTGCCCTAAATAAACTCTATTACTTCTCTCCCTCCCCCTCTCTCTTTTTCTTTTCTCTTTTAGTCTGTTATTTTAAGGTGTGGTGAGCCATTATGTGGTACAACTCTTAAAAGATGCAAAGAAGATATAAAATTGCTAAATTCTTGTCTCAAAATAGGAAAAGGACGAATATTTGATATCCGAACTCAGCAAGCAGCTCAACATCACATGAGCAAAGGTATCCTAGAATATACTATAGTATGCAAGAGTATACTACATGTAATTTTAGGTGGAGGAGTAGAGTTTCCAAGTAATTATTCACAGTGGAGAGTGGAGTATGGATCGATGGAGTCCATCACTAACATACAATCATCTTATCTTAAATTAATTGACGGTAAGTGTCCTTCTGTTTCTAATGCTTCCATTTTATTCTCTTTCTTTATCTCTTTTCTTCCATCTTTCCTCATGTTTGTTAATTCTGATGCACCCTTGTGTTGTTATGCCTGGTATGTTATTGATTGCATTCTTTTGTTGTAGTTTGTTCTGATGTAAATAACTCGTCATGGTATGGCCGACTTGAATCCTCGGGCTGGTTGACTCACGTAGAGCAACTCCTGAGAGCTGTAAAGCATGTGGTTCACTCTGTCTATCAAGAAGGTAGAGGAAGAGAGAAATAAAGAGAAGTGGAAGAGAGAGAGAGGGGGGGAGAAAAAGCTAAAAATTAAGATTTCTTCATTCTTTTGTTGAAAGGTACCAGTGTTGTATTGCATGGTACAAATGGTTGTGATGGAACACTTCAGGTCAGTTCATTAGCCATTCTACTAATGGATCCTCAAGCTAGAACAATCAGAGGGTAAATCGATTAATTTTTTTAATGGAGTCCTATTTGCATGTGCCTTATTTGGGGCTGTAGTTTTCTTCAGTTGATCGAGAGGGAATGGCTACAAGGAGGACATCCCTTTAGCTTAAGACACAACATTGTTAGTGCTGCTCCAGAGAAACAGAAAGGGCCGATATTCCTACTCTTCTTAGATGCTGTGTGGCAGGTACGACACCTTCTCCTCTCTCTCCCTCTCTCATTCTCTTCTCTCAGATCATGAGACAGTATCCATTATCATTTGAATTCAATGAGCTCCTCCTTCACATCCTCTTTGTTCATTCTTACTCTTCTAGTTATGGTATGTCTCATGTGACAGTCACATGACATATGACCCGCCCACCCCTCTCTCACTCTTCATTAGGTACTTTCTTGTATGATAATCCTGCTGAGCGAGACAGGCACAAACTAAGAGAGAAAACAGAGTCATTGTGGTGAGTATGATAATATTGAAAACTTTTTGCTACAAATTCAATCAAGAAAACATTCAGCCACACAGTCTTACTTTTTTGTTGCTTAACACTAACACTTTACCTGCACATTGCTAGATCTAGAGGGAGTTCAGGAGACTTTTGGTTTCTATAATTAGCCCTAGGTGTCCTTAGTCTCTCCCAAAGTTTATTTATAGATCTAACAGTGTTCATGTTTTGTAGGGATTACATTCTTCTTTCTCCTGATGTAATGTCATCAATCATCAATCCTTTGTACTCTAAGAATAGCACTCTCCTAGTCGTCTCTGTTCATCCTTGTAGCATAGTAAGTCAGGCTTACTTGTGACATATATAGTTTTTAATAAATCTGTTTTGTAGGTTTTCTGGAAGAGACTCTATCTTCGGACTGATTTAAGTCCTACGCTAAGTTTGGAGAGCCATGAGGTCTTACTCAAGCTTAAGGCGGAGAACGAAGAACTGAAAGAGAAATTGATTAAAATTCGAAAGTATGTGTGTGTGACTGAGAAATGGAGAATTCTCTCCTAGTCATTTTTAGCAAAATTTGGCCGATGGCCCTGTACTATAGTACAGGGACATTGGCCTGATTTTGGAGCAACTTTAAAAATTGGTAAAAAATCCAGGCTTGATTGGAATCAGCTCAAACTTTTTACGCTACATAATTACACGTATATGCATCAGAAAAAACTATAAAAGGAAAATTTTTTTCTAGCCTATGTTTTCTCAAGTATATTGTTTTTTCTTTGCATTATTCCTAAGGGAACTTGATGAAGTGCAAAGTAAAGGCAGAGAATATTCAAGTGTTTGGTCATAACATAGAATTCAATTGATTTATTATTATTATTATTATTATTATTATTATTATTATTATTATTATATTTATTGTGTCATCATCACTGCTGGTGTTTTAATATTATTTTAGGAATTAAAAAAAGTAAATGCATCTTAAACTAAGCTTCAAAAGTCAGAGTTACATGTATATAGTAGCTCTAAGCCCAACATCCGCTATGCCAACTTTGCTGAAAGCAACTTTGTGGTTACTTTGATCTGTGTCAACTTTGTTGCCTGAAATAGCTATTTCAGGCAACAAAATTGCTGTTGCTTTCAACAAAGTTGCCTAGTGGATGTTGGGCTTTTGATCTTAAATTCCCACCCATGAAGTATATGTGCCATATATTGGTTATTGATTGGTACAGAAAAAACAAAATATTAATCTTTAGAAGTAGTAGTAATGTGTGTGACTCATTAATGAGGCATAATTCTTAATTTCATTAATGAATAGTTTGTTTGCAAACAATTGAATGGAAGAATGTCTTTTCAAAGGCCTACAATATGTAATTTGAGTTTGCATTTATGGATTCTCAGCCAGTAGAGATGAACAAGGCAATGGTAAAAGATCTCCTCTCATCTCTTTATTCTTGCAAACAAAAAGAAACAAGCGATCCTTGCAACTAGGGCAATCTGTTACTGAAAAATACAAAAAATGTGCAATAAATTTCAGACAAGGAATTTTTATTCCATTATAATAATAGATTTAGAATCCCCATAAAACATATACTCATTCAGTGATAATTAGCAGCTTACCATCATCATCAACGATAGTAATGGTCAATGTAGTGATGGATCCAAGTTCGTATGAGCCACTGCTACTGCTAGGAATAGTTAAGATCAAAGTCTCGTTTTTTTCACTCAATCTGTCATTTACGATTGTTACATTATTGCATACACTTATGTCTGTAACAGGGAATGTAAAATCAAAAGGATCAGGGACTACATAGTCTGAATGTAGAGCTGTGAAAGAAAGAATTAATATGGTATATATCATAACAATGTACATACAATGTACATTATAGCCTAAAAGGCTTAGCTACCTGCATCTCCATCAGTTGATACATTTAATACATAAGGTGGAGAGTTTCCATCATGAGCAGAAATACAAACCTCAACAGAATTGTCTCCCTCAGAGACAGACAGCATTGCTGCTTCAAAACTGAATGTTGGTATTAGACTATGACCAGGAGCAACTAAAAGAGTATGAGTAATTGATCTAGAATAGAGACTGGGATTATTATTGCTTGATAGTCTAACCAATTAGCGGAATGAACTCCAAGAATATGATCAAATATTTGAACATTGTAAGGTATATTATGACAGAGAGCAATACAGCTTAGCCTCCTTCTCTCTCAGAACTAAAGCAAATAGATCTATAATTAGTATAAAAGAATTTAATGAGTGGGAGTGAGACTACTACTATAACTTCAGTAGGCATGTATATAGATCTAAGTGTGTTTCTGATTTACTAGCTATCAATATATATGCCTGTATATAGATCTATAGCCTAGATCTAAATCTTACATAATTATAATTCTATTTTGTTGTATAGAGAGTGAAATTTCATCAATTATTATTAGAAAAAAGAATTCTTTCATCACACTAAACATTCTATGTAGGAATACATCATAGTTTCTAAGACTAAAAATAGCTAAATAGAAATAATAATAGCATGAGTAATTAAAGATGGACAACAAAAAATTACTAAAAATTAAAATAACTCAACAACTGATTCTCGTCTGACATAATCAGTACAACTTGGTACCATGGCTCTTCTTTGCTCATCAACAGTTAGATGTGATTCAGTTGCGTCTAAAAGAGGATCATCATCTTCATCTTGTTTCTTGAATAACTTCTTAGTTAGAGCATCATAACATTTCATGTGTGATAACTGCAGGTGAAGATGATAAGCAACAATCAAAATAAAACTAAAAATAAAAACAGATAAACAAATATTGTACCAAATTAAGACTTTACTCTCATCAGTAAAGGCTAAAGATAAAGAAGCCATGATGCACAAGTTTAGCAAGAACCAAAATTCCATGACATTGTTCAATTTCTTTCTGTACACACCACCAAAGATAAAACTAAGGGAGAGGATAATAGCTGCTACTGCCAATAGCAAGACACGTGATTCATTCTTCAAAAAGGTGACAGTTAAAAGTACTGGTATCCTAGCCACCAGCAGTAGACCAGGCCAGAACCGATACTCATCTTTCATTGGACCACTATAAGCATCAATAATAGGCTTGAAACGACTCCAGCTCTTAAACATTCTGAAATGTGACAAATACTTCTCGAGTATTGGATGACATAAAAGGAACAGTGTGTATGGTATGACAAAGAAAACAGTCACCAATAGGGCAAATCCAAATAGTCCAGCATGCTTCCCTTTAGCATATTCAACATTAGGATCCTCATACCATAAACTAACTGATCTTACTGACTCATTTGTACAGTGAACAGTTACCTCACGCTTGTGTAGTACAATAACAATAGTACGAACTAGTTTAGTATATGAGAGAAAAGTAAGTATAGATAGAACAGGAACAGCATGAGACCCCATCAGTCTTGATATCTTACCATATCTCCTACACAATTGTATGATGATAATGATAATGATCCACAGGTAGAGAGGGAAAGCAAACTGGAGCCATTGTTTAGCATAACTGTCCATACCATTGTAGAAACATATCTCAAACCCAAAGTCTAAGTTAATCCATGATATGACTTGATTTAAGACTGGTAATGCTCCTTTCCTTGAAAAGACTGGCTCGTATAACTTGACAATGTTAGCATAGAACAATAGACCATTGAGTGTGCCCACTGATGCTGTTAAATTGAGAGCAATCAGTAGAACCACAAGTAGTACACCCATCACTGCAAACAGAGCAATCCAAGCTATCATCATGTAATTATCATGACACTTTCCACACTTGTTTGATCCCATTAGTAGACTGTATCCATCTCTACATGATCCACACATTCTCCGTCCTCTATTATCCACACATTGAGTATCAGTGTGATTCAACTTGAAGGTAACAGGATTAGGAGAACAATAGAGGAGACAGTCCTCATTGATAATGCATGCATTAGGATTGGTTGCATTAGCATTGAAAGGTGTACTGGTATCATATGTTCCAATCCACAGTAGACCATTGTGTGTAATGTTTAGACTAGTTATACTACACGTCACATTTTCTCTTGAAACACTTTGACTGCAAGCACAGATAGATCTACCTTGTGAACTATCTACACTAAAACCAATGGGACACTCATTAACAATATAATCCCAATAAATAAGATAGTTTATTTCAATCACAACTTGAGTAGCAAATACCATGGCATGTTCTACATGACTGGGAGGATGGTTTGGTTTGTATTCAATTGGTGATGAACAATTAGTATCAGGCTTAGATCTAACATATACATGATCGACTGTATGAGCACTGTCTGGAGTGAGTCCATCACGTATTTCCAATAAACCATCAGTGACATTTAGTGATCCAAAGTAATCATTACCAAACAAAGCCATATGAAACTTTAGTGCTTGACCAGGATAAATCTGCTTGTTGCTTGAATTGTCACTTGCATTTTTTAAATTAGTAAAATTGCAGAACTGAATTTTCCGTATATCACCTGTTGAACTAATGTTTCGATTTGTCAAGTTGAAACGATTGCTTCCATGATGAGTAGTATATCCATATATATCATCACCAAATATTCCAGCACTATTATTTATTAATGTAAGAGGTATATTTGGTGCCTCTAATGTTATGCCACTCTTTGATGTCTCTTGAACATAGATCCCTCCACCTTTATAAGAAGCATGGTTATCAATAAACTCCAAGTTAGCTGATGATGATACTATCAATTGTGATGAGCCATTTATTGCTAATCCTCCTCCAACTACCCCAGTATTGTTTTTAAATATCAAGTTATTCTCAGTTGTTACTATTGACAGTCTGAGTGTCAATCCTGTTGAGGTGCTGTTAGCAACAGTAACATTACTGAGACTAATAGAAAAACTGTTTAGTATCACATTTCCTTTATTTCCAATAAGTTCAGTATCTGTTATATTGATTTGGACTGATGTCAAGAATTTTTCATCAATATATAAGCCTGTTCTTGTGTTGTTAGATATCAAACACGACTTAATGATAATAATAAAGTGATTGCTAAGTGCTCTAGGTAAGTATGCATCTTTTAATATCATAATTCCATACCAATTATCACGAAACTGACTGTCCTCAATCAAAAAAGTAGAAACTAACTGGATCCCAGGAAACTCGCACTCAACTGATTTCAGGTTTTCACTAAATTCAATATAAAGGGGGTAGATACCCTCAAGTAGTAATGATCGAAATGATGCATTCTTAATATTAAAAGAAAAAAGGCTATCACCCAAAATAAAAAGAGAGTGACTATGAAGTATAATGTAATAGTTATGAAAGATGGCTGACAGATTGTATGAAGCACCATGATAAGTAGATAGTTTCATCCAACTGTTATTCAATGTGACATTAGTCACTATTAGTGAATAGTGAAGTAGTTCAGTGCTACATACTGGAAGAGGCTTGTACATAATATCTAGACTATAGGCATTAAAAACTGAGGATGATACCTTAACATCAAAAGCATTGTTTAATTTTATAGAAAACAGTGTCTTGACAGCTTCTGTTCCATTGAATGAAGAGTTAGTTATTGTAACATTGCTGGATGATCTAGCAATGACTCCAAGATTATAAACTAACATGTTAGAAATAATGACATGACTGCTGTTATAGATGAGAATAGACCTTTTATTACTCCTGCTACTAATAAGACAAGACTGATCCAGTCCATGTAGAGTAACATTCCTTACTGCAGTCATGTTGACATCATCATTAATGTCACTGGTTCCAATGAAGTAGAAGATGCTGTTATTGTATTGAGACATATCCCCAGCATACACTGATAAAGGATTACAAGGTGACTGAGTAACTAAACTGCAGTCATCAGATACATAATACTGACCAGAGGAGACACTGCAGGAGCTACTGAAGAATAAGAGAACAACCACTAACAGGAGAGACATACTCTTGCCTTTACTAACAGTTACAGTATACTTGCTGATGCAACATTAGCTCTCTTATATAGCCTGGCAGCTCACTCCCTAAATATATAATTATGGTAGAGTAGTCATAGATAATTGAGTATTGATATGTTTTGAACCTGTTGTTAGGTGAATCATGGATAGTAATTACTATTTATGGGTGAACTGATACCACAGCATACAGATCTAATTGGGGTTAAGTAGAGAAAGGATGGAACCATTACTTTTTAATTTGTACAAGTACAAATCTGAGAAACAGTCCAAAGCATGCCCCACATAAACTACATTCATTGTAATCAATCATGCACCATGCACATTAAATGCTCTGTATAGTTCTACTTAGACAGGTGGGAATGCTCTATAACTTTTCCAATTTGTACTAGTACAAATGGAATTCTAGGAAGAAATGTACAATCATTGACATAAAATGCTTGATTATATTACATATTAGTTGGAGATATTTGTTTTGTTTATGATATACTCTTGGAATTATTAAGAGTAATCTGTCAAATGATCCATGGATTTATTACAAAATGAAGTATAATCAAATGTTTCTGTATTGTTGCTACTCAAACAGAATGGTGTATATAAAAAATCAATTATATAATATTATTCTATCCTGCCATCACTAAAAGATATTTCTGTTATAATATAAAATAGTTTATAATCCTGACTTGATTGACCACACCATAGCCCCAACTCAAGCTTCAATCCCTAGTTTATCTTTGACTGCTTTTGCAGAGCAAGCCACAACAGAGTTCATTAGTTGTCTTAATTAATCATTGTGTACATGTACATGGTATGATCATTAATTCCTGTACATGTACATGTACATGTTTTTACTTCCATCAGGAGTATCTCAGTGTTGAGAAGAATATGGAATTCTTGAAACTTTTTTATTGACAGTTTCTGGTCGAGTTTTTTACCAAAGAAATGAACTGCTAATGCTCCACCCACAGACGAAGCAACATTACCTAATGGACAACAACCATTACAAACTCATTCACAATAGCATTGTATTGCAGGTCACTTTCATCAGGTCACAGACAGCATTGCTGCTTCAAAACTGAATGTTGGTATTAGACTGTGACCAGGAGCAACTAAAAGAGTATGAGTAATTGATCTAGAATAGAGACTGGGATTATTATTGCTTGATACTAACCAATTAATGGAATGAACTCCAAGAATATGATCAAATATTTGAACATTGTAAGGTAGAGATTATGACAGAGAGCAATACAGCTTAGCCTCCTTCTCTCTCAGAACTGAAGCAAATAGATCTATAA